AGGAAGGAAGAGAACCTGCACTTCATTACAGCACCTCCCCAGGAAGATGAATTGCAGGAAAGCGCATTTGCATTAATATCTGGACATAAGTCATCTTTTTTTTGGGGGGAGCAGGACTAGGGTTTGAACTCAGAACTTAACACTTTCAAAGCAGGCATTCTACCACTTGAGCCACACCTCTAGTCCTGGATGAGGGTCATCTTGAACTAACTGCCTCTGTGAACCCCTGGAAAGTGACATTTAGGCTTTGAGGATCACTGCTGTCTTGCCACCTTTGTCCCACCAGTGGCAAGATACTCCCCCAGACTTGAAAGGTTTGTTGAAAATCCAAAACCTCGGTGGTCTGCAGAAAGATATCTTTTTACACATGGCTTTTAATAAAAGGAAACAATTTGTTTCAAGTGAAGGAAACTTCTTCCCATCCTTATCCCTACCTTGTCTTTTTATCCATTCCCCAAACTAAGTAAACCTATTCTTGGGGATATTACCCCAACTCATCCCATCTGCTGAGTTTATGAGTGAATTGTTAGATTTTGGTCTGCTTCAGTCAGAGACATGCCTGGGACATCTCTTACCCTATACTGAGTCTTATTTAGACCTCATTTTTAAGAACTACCTATAAACCCAGGGTTGGCAGATTGGCTCAAGTGGTAAGAGCACCTGCCTAACAAGCATGAGATTCCGAGTTCAAACCCCAGTACCACAAAAAACTAATCATTATCTATAAACCCTTATTCTTGAAAAGGAAACTTTCTTTATTAGGTACATGGGGATTTGGGGAAGATGAATGGCTTGGCCAAATATGTCTACGTATAAAACTGATTTTATCACTATCATGAAAAACTTCATCTTCATTTAAATCTGGAGGCAAACTAAAACAGCTTTACGGGTTGGGGGATTTTAAAATCTTGGGATATTTGAAGGGCAGAATGCATAGATGTTCAACTCTTGTCACTGCAAATATCACTATACCTCATATCCAAAGGACCAAACATTCCCATAAAACTAGTGTGGATGGAGGAAGCAGGATAGCCCTGGGAGAGGATCCTGGTCTCCAGCATGTCCACCCCAAGGAATCTAAACACAATCTCAGGTGAAAAAGCCAGTGTCCCCTGGCAAAGCCATCAGCATGTCTTTGATAACATGAAAACACTGGACAGGAAGTAGAATCTTGACCACTCTCCAGAAGCCAAACAAGGGTACAACATCTTACAACTTTGAAGTAAGTATTAAATTCTTTAAAATCCACATAAATGCAGTAGAAGCTGCATCTTTGATTCCACAGAAGCATTTAGGACCAGTCCACAAAAATATGTAATAAGAATGTTCACTTAATTTTTTTTTTAATAATAAGAAACCTAGGGCTGGCAGAGTGGCTCAAGTGACAGTGTCTGCGTAGCAAGCTCGAGGACTTAAGATCAAACTCAAGTACTGAAAAAAAAAAAAAACCCAAACCTGGAATCCTTACTGTACACCAGCAGGGAACTGGTCATGGGAATTATGGCCCATCTATTGTGATGGATGTGCTCATGACTTAGAATGATGCAGACTACTTATCATGCTTTAAGGGAAATGTCCATAACTTAACTTATATCCCTGAGGGCAAAAATTAGACTAACAACAATTTAGTCCTTTAGAGCTAATAAAATAGTTTGAATCCATTTTGTAAGGGTGTGCATGCATTCACATTTACACAATGTTACTATCTTGATTATAAGTAAGGAGGTTACAATTAAACAACCATCATAGAGCTGGGCACATCAGGAGATGACACTGTCACAGATGAAGGCACCAAACTCAGGAAACAAAGCAGCCTAGGGAGTTCCAGGTGACTTCTGATCAAAGAGTCTATGGGCTGGGGATGCAGCTCAGTGGTAGAGTGTTTGCCTAGCATGCCCAAGACCCTGGATTTCATTCCCAGTGAGAGAGAGAGAGAGAGAGAGAGAGAGAGAGAGAGAGAGAGAGAGAAGGAGAAGAAAAGAAGGAAGGAAGGAAGGAAGGAAATGGGCCCGAGTCCTGAAGTCAGTAAGGATGGAACTGTGGCTCAGATGGATGACAGCAATCCCATTTGGGCCTCCGTGGCTAAAAATCTTTCATTAGACTTGACCTGAGTATGAAGTATTTGGAAGAACACGAAGGAAAACAAACTGAAACTTCTAAAGATTATGTTCTATAGTGGTTTCTGATTTTTAAAATAATAGAATCCTAGACTTAGGTTTTAAAAACTTATTTTATGTACATTCCCCAAAACTAGTTGACTATATAGAAAATGTAAGGTGCATGTGTGTATATTTTAAATACCTCGTGTTATTTTTAATAATTCCAAGACACTAGACAACAACAGAGGATATATCACCAACAAGTTAGAAATCGCTGGCTGCTGCTTGAAAGCAGTGATGTGACCTGTCCACGTGTCACATTACACAGAGGCACCTGGCTGAGATGGCAGGCATGGGTGATGGTAAGCAGGATCTAACGGAAACTGGAATTTATAGGCAGTGTACAAAGGATGAATAGATCAAATTCCACTGTTGGTGAATGAGGTGTAAGAGGCTACGCATTCTACTGGTGTAGGTGTATGACGGGGGAACAATGGAAACACAGGGATGTGTGTTAGGAGGGTTTCTACCACCACTTTCATCAACAGAAAACAGTAACCTACCAAGACTACCCACACACTGTGTTCACAGAAGCCCTGTATATTCAGGTGTTATGTTTTGAATATAGGTGGTGCCTGACTTGTGATGGCTCCACTTATAACTTTTTCAAGTTCACGTGCTGGAACCTGGGGTACATTCAGTAGAAACAGAACTTCCTTCGCATTTGAACTTTGACCTTTCACAGTCTTACTAGGCAGTCCAACACTCTCACAATGTGAGAGAGCAGCAGGGACTGAAGCGCCCAGTCAGCCCTGGATCAGAAGGGGAAGTAACGGACACCCTACAGAGCAGTGTCACCAGGCCAGGCTACTCCACAGGCCAAGTGTTCTCACTGTCGTTTCCATCATGGTATTCCCAATTTGCCATGGCTTCTCAAGACATAACATCAGACTTAAAAGACTTAAAAGCATCAGACTTTCTCTTTCAATCTTGAAACACTGACTCACTTCAGAGAAGTCCGTGGAGAAGGTGATGATGCCACAACTCTGATCTCCCATGTTTTATATATAAGTGGCTAAGCGTTTTGAGAATTTTTGTTTCTGTATTTTCACTTCTCCTCCTTCTTCCCCCAACCTGCTCAATAACTCCCCTTCTATGAAGACAACTGTCATAGAGATTCCTATCTCAAGATGGGTTCGTGACAAAGCCCAGCAATTTCCTATAAAGTCTGGGTATTAATAAACAGTCTGTTAAAAAAAAAAAAAAAAGACAACACAAGCTATTTTCCACTGCTTTTCAATTCCCCTCCCCATAATTACCCCTGCACAGGAATATCCATGGGCTGGGGGTGTCTGAGGAATGGAAGGGGTCAAAACCTGAGCAAAGCATCCTAGCTTGAGTCCCCAGGGAGGACTCAAAACACTGGGGAATCAGATTACAGAAATGGCCCAAGCAGGCAAACTTCAGAGTTGGCAAAAGAAAACAGTAGAGAGCCTACCTCCAACCTTGAAAAAGACTGTGGATGGAACATGGCAACATGGCTACAGAAACCTTTGTAGACAAACGGAGACCAAGTCTGGAGAAGGGATCCTACTACCCCAAGGGCCCCCAAACCGTGACAACCTGGTAGGAAAAGGTGAGGTGAGGATGATTCCTGCCAGCCTGGTGGGATAGGTGCCTGAAAAAGAAATTAAGAGTAATTAAGAGTAATTATGACTCTATACTTGACTTTGAACATTTTTCCTCTGCACAGATAGACTCAGATACCAGACAAGAAAGCAGCCCAAACTGCTAAATATCACACCAGCGTGAAAAGTGTTGGAATGATTTTATCAAGTGTCAATCTGGCTTTAGTCATCTCCTGGGAGATGGAATGAATACAGAAAGAAAATCATTTCTTGCTTAATATCATTGCACTAATGCCTAAATAAACTTAAAATAAAAAGGTATGTTCTCCAAATCATTGTTAGCACTGAAACCCTTGGGGGTCAGAAACTAAGTTTCCCAAATGTGAACATGCCTATGAATCACTCTGGGATTTTGTTAAAATGGAAGTTTGGTAAAGTAGATCTGGACTGGGGTCGAGTTTCTGCATTTCGAATAAGTTCCTGGAACCACTGATGTTGCCGGTCCATGGGTCACTGTGTGAAGAGCAGGGCGTACACAAGCAGGGGTACATAGCCCCAGGAAGGAACTCTTCTACATTAGGCAGACAAGAAGTAGTAGGACTGGGGACTCTGACAGGAAGAGAAAGGTAGCCAAAGGTCACATTAACTGTTTTTTGTGGTTCTGTGAAAGATCCAGGCAGCAAGTCCCTGGTGACAAAACCTAAGAGTGAGTCAGAGCTCCCCCACCCAGGCCACCCCAGTACTTCCACCAGACACCCTTCAACTTGCTCCCACCAGGGCAGGGCAGGAGAAACTTGGATTCCACCAACCATGGTCTGAAACTATTCACCGTGCTGACAACGTGCAGACATTGTGCTTGTCAATATCCCTAAACCACGATTTCATGGCATCTGCACTGTATTGCATACTATAAGTAACCTATGAATTAAAGTGTGTGTGCACAGGTTATAAGTAAACACTACACAAGTTTATATAGTGATCTTGTGCATCCTTGGAGTTTTGTATCCACAGGGGTCTGCGTCAGAGATACTGAGAGACAAACTGTGGTGCCCAGGATGGGTATTTCGTATATCCAAATCTGTAGTTCAAGATGCCAAGCAACTGGAGTGCTTTCTTTTTAGTTAAAATGGCAAGCTTTATCAAAACAGCTTTTCCTTCATGATGACAATATTAAAAGAAAAAGACGTTCCCAGGTAGTCTCTCCCATGGACTCTCACTTTCCCACGGTTCATATTCATCTTCCCATCCAAAAAAGGCATAGCATCATCCAGGTACTTTTCAATATTTTTATTGTTTGACAGGCATTTACAACGTTCCATTCATAGACCTAAAAACATAAAAATAGACCTTCTTTCAGCTTATAAAAGAAATATATAAGAACTTTTGACATAGACACATCATGACCTTATGTACAAGAGACAATGGCACCCTCTCTAAGCACCAGACTTTCCAGTATTTTCAACGGACGTGTTGCAGGGAGACCAGTAAATACAACTGTTCGACACCTCTGCTTCAGTTTTTCCATCCGGACACAATCGAGCTTGAGATGAAACAATGCATGATACAAAGGGTATAGAAACCATTCTAAAGCTTTTTTGTTTTTTTTTTTTAAGAAAACCAGAAGATATAGCAAAAATTTAATAGAAGAAAACTTTCAAAAATCAAGCTCAAAGCCCTGGAAACCCGAAAGGAGAGGAATAGAGGACAGGAGAGCAGGAAAAGCAAGCAGGGGCACAAGAGCATGACGTTCTGAACTCTATTGTCTGGAAATATAAAGTCATAACTGAGTCTTATAAAATATAATTCCTAAAGCTACTATAAAATTCAGTCTGTAAAGTACCTACTGATGTGTCAAACACCAAATAGATATTCCCCCCCCCCAAAAAAAGAAAGTTTTCATATTATTTAAACTCTTCTTAGGAAATGGACATTGTGAAATGGGGAAAAGAAAAAGCTATAAACCTTTTTAGATAAAAAAACTGAAAGTGCTATAACTTGTTTTTGTTCTTCCTATTTGGATATCTGTTTAGAATGCTAGGTTTATTAGTATGTTTACCCTGTTTTGTTGGTATGAAGACAGTGTTAAACACAAGAAATGTTTTTGAAGAGGTTGTTTGGTTCAGAGGTTTGGTTATGGACTGCCAGGGAAGGAACAGGAAATCTATGGATGAAAATGTAATTTGGATGGGAAAACCAATGGTCACCATGGCAACCCCTCAAGGAGGCGGCTCCCAGTTCCCCCGCCATGTGCAACAGACACACACACACACACTGTCTATTTATTCCCTGTCAAGTGTACTCCAACCAAATTCCCATCTCAAATATAGATTCAAACATTAAAAAAAATCTTCTTGGAAAAAAAAAGTTTATTTTGCTTCTTGTTGGCCTTTCATATACAAATATAAAGGCGCCATGCCTCGCTATTTCTGTAAAAGGATATAGCCTCGTTTTTACACTCAGAGTTACACCAACACTGTAAAATTCTCATCTATTTGTACCCCTGCAGGTAAAATACAAAAAATAGTGTTTTTGTTTTCTCTCTCTCTCAAGTGATAAATTTGGATCTCTTTCCCAAGAGTTTGGCTTTTATAATTCTATGCAAAACTAGAGCTTCCAAACACCAACACAGAGCAGCCATAGACCAAAACAGAAGAAAAAAATAAAAGGCTCATCAAGACCTAAACGACCACCCTTTCCTCACACATTCTTAAGATACACAGATATTCTCAGACACTGAAGAGGGAAAGGAGTCTGGACGTTGCAAGCAGATGTTTTGTTCTGTTTCCTTTTGCGTCTGGAAGTGGTTTCCCCAGCAGGGAGATAGGTTTCAGGTAGGATGAGCTGTGTTATCTTTTGGTGTGTGCCATACTTCAAAACTGCTGGGGGTGATTTTTGCTTTCCAGTGCTAAAGATTCTTTTTTTTTCTAATTCTTCAGGCCCTGATTAATTGAGAATAAATAGAAGCCCTTGGTAATATACAGAAGGTAGGACTGGAGCTTATTTTGAATCCCAACAATTCTTTCTGATGTCGTTGTTAAGAAAGATGAAGATGGGTGGCTACATGGCTTTAGACCCAAGTCAGCTGCCAGATCCGAGTGTGCAAGAGTGCGACCTAGGGGACAGACGGCACAGTGGGGGCAGGACGTGGTATCTACACACATTCTCTAAGGAAGGGGACACCGCACAGTCAAATCTCAGTGTTCAGTTTCCTGGAGGGAGCAAAGTCTTCCCGCCTAACCCAAATGACTTCCTCACTTGCACTCTCCAGACGCCCATTGATGCCCGACAGGGCGGCCTGCTTCTTGAGCTGCCCCATGCGGGACGCGTGGCTGTCCAGGCCCCTCCGGCCTCTGTCGCGTGGACTGATGGAGGCAGCCTGAAGCCGCTCCTGCAGGTCTGCAGGCACCGAGGCGTCCTTCGCCGACTCACAGAACTCCTCATCGTCACTGAGGATGTCTGTCTCCTTGATGTCATCTTGCTCCTCATACTGAGCAAGATCAAACTGTTCCTCTACCCATCGGTCAGTGTCCCCGCCACCGGGGGGCTGCTGGGGCTCTTTCTCCGGGCTGCTGGCAGAGATCGCATCGGAATCAATGGTAAACCTGTTGCGAGCCAGTCGCCGCCTCCTCCTCCCAAGGGACTTGCTTGGGGCGGACACTGCACACACACACAAAAATATAAAAACAAACCCCCACATGCTTTACCATGAGAAGAAAATCCAGTGAGCAAAGAAAAGGAACTAAAGCAAAATGGTACACATTGGTGGCCTAAAGCCTAGATGTCACCGGTCCACCCTGGGGTGTTTACCTGCCCAGATATCTGAACTTGGGGGATGTTGTAGCAAGGGATCCAAGTGCAAAGGGGTAGGGTGGAGGGACACAGGAGAGGTTACAGGCATGGAGAAAGAGACCTCGAAATAATTCCTTCCTCCAGGCTGTGTACCTGTAAGACAGATAACACAGATGGCTGCTGCTTTCAGGTGCACCACCAATCTCAGAAGGAGTGAGTGTCAACCTGACCATGTTCCAAGGCACAGAGCTTTGAAGATCCCTGCAGATCTCTCCCAGGGTCCTTTAGAGAGGATGTAGCAATTAGTAAGGGTGGGAGATGCTCCTAGGGTTTTGCTTCTTTGTACACTACCATGAGAATCAGAAGCACCGATCTAAGTTGAGTTGCTGTCTGGAAACTTGGATGCAAAATTTCTGGAGGACCTGCAGTTAGACTAAGGGCACCTAGTCTCACATATGGAAAGAACAGTTCTTAAGAGATACGGAGCTGCCACTTGGTCCCCTTTGTCAGAAAGGGGACTATGAGGCTAAACAAATGTTGAGCATTGGACCCTCCTGACTATATTCTGTGAATCGCTAATTCTTTTACCACGCAATGAAAACACCAGGGCCCAAGTGGAATGAGACATAAATAATGATGTTACTGAAGCCGCTGATCCACACAAAGTGGCACATAAAATGACTAAAAATTTTAAAAAACCAAATCTTTGAATTGATTTCTTCACTCCTAATTGCCCTCTAGAAAGTCAGAATTACTAAAAACAAGCAAACAAAAGTTGCCACCAGTCAAAGCAAGCAAATACTCCTGACTCACTCTCTCTCTCTCTCTCTCTCACACACATACACCCCCCCCACACACATAGATGGCTCACATGGAAATGCTCCCACTTCTCCCTCGAGAGTGAAGTAGTTGTTGCATTAGACACAAAAAGGTAAAATGCAACCCAGGCTTTCCAGTGGAAGGGAAGCACCTGAGCACCAATTAGGAGCTGTTCTTCTGAAACCCAAGTCCTAAAAGTTGTCAAACAGCTTCTGTGCTGGGAGAAGATACTTGCTGTCAATCACTACTGAACGTAGCCTTGACTGCAAGCACAGCAGGCACAAGGTCAGAGAGCTCAGCAATGGCCCAGACTGGCTCCCATTCCACCCATCCTCTGCTTCAGACCCCTATGTGTGTGCCCACCACCATTCTGCGTGCTCCATCATCTCAAAATATGGAACAAATGAACACCACTCTTATTCACAGAGGGCAGTAGGACCAGGTGCAGGTGAAGTGGAAAAAGGAAAAAGAAAAAAACACTTCTCCATAGGAAAGAAGCAAAAATTCCAATTCGGTTTTATCTTAACCTTACCACAGCAGAGCTTAGCTCTCCCTGGTCACTACATTTGAGTTACCCAATTCAAAACTGGGCTACTGAAAATATTTGTGAACAATGTGCATGCTGAAATATTTAAGGGTAAAGTGTGCAAGTGTCTGCATCTTTGAAATGGGTCAAAAATAATATGGAATTGATGGATGATAGATGTATAGGGGATGATGAAAATATAGTAAAAAATGAGAGAATATAGGTATGATTCAGCTTCTCTGAAAGTTCTCATAAGAAAATAGCAGAACAAAAAAATTTTTAGCTGGGCCATTGGCAGAAGTACAGCACTTCCAGAGGAAGTGTAGAGGCAGAATATCCCTCTTTACTCTCCTATCCAGACAGAACACCGGGAGAGATAAACTGCCCCGGCATTCATGAAAATAGGGAAAGAAGCATGAGTATCTATTCATTAGTAAAATGATACTTCATAGCTGAACTAACATTAGTGGGTTCCTCCAAGTCTTTCAAGGAGACCTTTGATTTGAATATTTCCATTGTTCATCGTTAAGCTAGTACCAACCTGATCAGCTTAAGTACCATTTTTTAAATCATCAAACTTGAAAATTCTGATGATAGTGAGCTGCTTCAAAAACAAAGTGGTAGTTTCTTCAGCCAAAAATGAGACATCAGGCAAAAATTAAAAAATAATATTCTTTCAATCAGCCAAATCCAACAGGCTATGACATCAAGGTTTTTTCTTAAAAGTTGTGGGTTGATTTAATTTTCTTTCAAAAAAAAAAAAAAAGAGCTCAGTGGGAAAACTGCAGTGGGAAAACTGCATGTTCTACAGACTAAGCATGATTGGTTTCACAGTAAATGCAGCTCTGAATTTAGGTTCATTGATTCACCATTGAAACCTGGCCACTGATGGGTAGGTTCCCTGAGATTGGGGCACATATTCCCAATTAAGTGTTCCCCAGCAGGCAAGAGGAGCAAGTGAAACAATTCCAACATAAAATTCTCCCCAGCAAGCTATAGATGGTCAGTGAACTGTCCTTACATGGGGGAAAGTGTGGGTATGAGTGCACGCATGACTTCTGGGCTACCTTGGAGAATTCTATAGAGAACTGGTGTTCAATTAATACCTATCAATTGATTGGAGAAAGATTTACGATCACCCCTCTAACATTAGTTAAACTTAAGATGCTTAAAGAATGTAACTAACAGCTCAGTCAAGCAAAGCTAAATCTACAAAAAAAAAAAAAAAGCACTGCCATTAACAGCTGTATCCATGCCTCTTCAACACACTTGAGAACCAGCAGAAAGGTAACTGGAACAAAGATTAGGAACCTGTTTGGCTAATGCAAAGGAAGCCTCTTTAACTGTAATCCTCCCTGCAAAATCCTGAGCTGCCTCCTAGGAAAGGAGTGATTAACATGTTAATATCATGATGTCAGCTAGTACCTCTGTGTTAGGAAGACAGCTCTCTTCCTAGATAGGTTCTCCTGTCATTTATACGGGTAGTACTGATCGTCTTTCCTCATTGCTCTGGAGTGATGAGATAAGTCCTGCTAGAATATTTACTCAGAACCACTTATGCTGTAGTTCCTCAGACTAAAAATAAAGTTGCAGGCACAAGGCGAGGGTCAAAATTAAAATGTGACTCTTCCACCAAGCCTGGGATCCTTACTGAGATCAACCAGTGCTCTGCTGTTCTCAGAAAGGTGGGCTGTGACCTTGCTGACACATGACTCCTTGCTTTTTTTGCTAAATAGAGCTAGCTGTCTTGCAAAGCAGCACTCTCATTCTGCAAGCAGGCTAAGCCAGCCCCTCCAGAAAGAGGATGCCTTGACTTGCTCACTGGGCAAATGAGAGAAGGTCACCAGCACGAAGGAGGAGGGCAGCAAGGGCAGGCTGGAGGGAAGGCAAGAGGAGCAACAAAGGTGAATGCCAAGAGCCACTGGGAAAGAGGCGAGGACAGGGGACCTCACAACATAAACCCCCCAGGCCATAACAAACTCTTGCTCAGGAAGGAGGTCAATCTCACTGGAGTTCTAGAGTGGAGTGGGGGTCACAGGGATCTTGTACGTCTGGATGCCCACAGTACCTGCCCTGCTCATGGCTGGCCTGGCGCCTTTCAGAGCACATAATCTCTTGCCTCCAAAAGGGACATATTGCTGAGATGAGGGAAGGCTTTCAGTCTTAAGGAGCTGTCTTCTGTGCTTATCTCGCAAGATGGAGTGCACAGCCTTCAGGAAATCCTTCCGGCTTTCTGGAGAGCTAGGAAAAGAAGATTCATACATGTTAAACACTTAACCCAGAGCATCTTCCAATGTTACCAGGTGCAGCCAAACCACTATCCCCGATTGCCAAAGGTTAAAGATTGAGGCCACAACTTCAATTTTTATGCCCAGCTGCTTCCTCATAGCTGGCATAATGAATGTACGTTCCTTTCCCTGAATGCTAGATGATTCTATTTTGAGCCTATTTGGGGCAAAAGAAGCCCATTAATGAGTCGATCAATGGACAGAGGGTTTTTGCCAAATTCTGCTCTTGGCACTGAAAGCATGGGCTTACGTTCTGACATATTTTTAAGAAAAAATGAACCACAGATTCTTGTATCTCTCAGAGCACTCACAGACTGATATCCCAATGTACTCATTAGTTTACGCTAGCGTTGATCACCTTCTATTAAATATCAATATTTCAACAAGTATCAAGGCTATCCTATCAAAAACTGTAAAATCTTCCCAGTCGTAATTCTTACAGTGGAGAAAGTGCCTCCTAGATTAAGAGTTATTTGTTAAAGTTCTCGGCGTATTTTATTTTTAAATTATTTATCTATCTATCTATTCAATTATTGGGGGTTTTTTTTGAGACAGGGTCTCATTATGTACCTCAGGCTGGGCTTGAACTTATGATCCTCCTGCCTCAGCCCCCACAGTGCTGGGATTACAGGGATATACTATCAGGCTTCACTAAATTCCACCAGGTACTCCTTATAAAGAAGAAATATGGCATCTCCAGAGACAGCCTTGCTGATCTTCATGGATTGTATCAACAAAATCATAAGTGGATCACCCTAAATAGATGGCAAAGATGGTGCCTAAACACATGGAATATTTGCAAAAAGTTTTCCCTTCTACTCCTCACAGCTTCCTGGGGATCTGCACTTTGTTGATCCTGGTCACTCAACAGAGAGGTGGTGTAGTAACGTGAAACATGGGTTTTGAGATTAAACCCACCTGAGTTTCAACCCAGTGTTCATTTTCTATAACACGCTAGGCAAGGTAGTCTCTTGAGCCTTTGCAGCCCTCAGTCTACCTGAAGTAATGAATGTAAGGTGTCTGCATGTGGAAAGTGTGGGAAGTACACCTTGATATTACATAGTAATAACATTATAAAATATCACTAATAATCACAAATATTCTGTTTTTGTGAGAACCCATAGCACACTACTCCATTCTGTGTGAAGCAGTGAATAATTACTGAGTGTATCACTGAGTGCTTGTGACGAAATAAAGCACGATTAAATGTGGATCACATTTAAAGCCAAGTAGACTACTATCTGTTGGGACCATCTATCTTGACACTGCTAGGGGAAAATACAGAAAGAGAACTGGACACAGATTGAAGAAGACCTCAGATTCTCACAGAGGAAGTACAGAAGGAAGGAAGAAGGGGAAGGCAAAGAGGAAAAACAAGAATTAATGAGAAGTCCACATTAGAAGTTTAACATCCACTCAAGGTCTGCAGGTGCACAAGAGAGGCCAACCTCCTAGTGCAGAAGCTTCTCCAAATGGTCAGAAATGCTGGTAATGCCTTTGCACGCCACCCATCACTTCCCCATGGACATTTAATCTGCTATATCTCAGTGACGCTACAGTATAAACAACAGGCCAAACACCAAACCGGTAAGACAACCACTTTGTCTTATGTTCTACCAGAGGTAAATATGAGAAGAAAGCCCTCTGCAATGTCCACTACCTTTAAAAATTCCTACTTGCTTTGAAGATAGATGTTAAATTAACCAGGTTACTATCTATATTCTAATAAAACTAGTTTAGTTAATCCAATTACTGATATACAGGAAGTACTAACTTCTCAAGTGTACAAGAGAAAGAGAGTGTAGCGATGTACAGGCTGGTTTGTAGGGTGCAATGGAGCTCGAGGACAGTCCCTGGGCGTGGGACCTCCACCTCATGGAGCCGAGCTCACCTGCAGCACAGGTGGAAGACCCTCTCCGGCCTGCCTTCTGACTCTGATTTCACATGGACAATTTCACACACGGCATTTGCCTCTGCATCTAGGTAAATCAAAACAAGGACAAATTAGGACACATTTCATGCTTGGTATATAAGGAAATAGTGCAGAACAACCCAAGATCAAAGGTACTTCACTGCTGTCCTATTATCTAAAGACAAACACACTATGAGCTTACTATATGCTGAGGAAAAAAACAAGACACTTGAAAATCTCCAGTTGCAAAAATTTCCTTCCAGATTGTCTAACAGGCCCTTCAGTCAGTCATGCTGGCTGAGTAATGCACACTTTCAGCTGTGCAGCCTGCCTGGCTAAACTATTTCAACAGTTCCCAAGACTCCAATGCATCTTTTCATCAAGCCAGAGATATGAGTGGCAGTCCTACATCTGTTGGGGGAGCCTTCCCCTAAGTGGCAAGACCTACACCCTGGAAAGCCGCCTGCAAACCTAATGGGCTCCCTTCTCCCAGCCTTCCCACAGTGGCCACTATGAGTAGAGCAAAAACGGTATGCCAAGAAGGCACGGGACAGCTATATTTTAAAGTACAGTCGTCCTAGGAACTTGAGGGGCGGATGTTCTAAGACCCCACGGGATACCCATATTCAAGGATGTTCAAGCCCCTTACACAGAATGGCAAAGTATTTGCCCATAACCTGTGCACAATTTCTAATATACTTTATTTTTAGTTTGTATCTTTAGTGGTACTAGGATTTGAACTCAGACCCTTGCACTTGCTAGACAAGCACTCCACCACTGGAGCCACACCCAGGCCTTTTTGCTTTAGTTTATTTTTCAAATAGGGTCTTGCACTTTTGCCAGGGACCAGCCTTAGACCATAATCTTCCTACCTCCACCTCCTTTGTAGCTGGGGTTACAGTTATACTCCACCATACCCAGCTTGTTTTATTGATATAGGGTCTCACTGACTTTTTGCCCAGGCTGGCCTTGAATTGCAATTCTTCCATATCTGCCTCCTGTGCTCCCATAGACTTTAAATTACCTCTAGATTACTGATAATACCTAATACAGTGTAAATGCTATGTAAGCAGTTGTTGAATTGTTTAGGGAATAATGAAAAGAAGTCTGTACATGTTCAACACAAATGCAATTTTTCCCCCAAATATTTTCTATCTGCAGTTGGTTGAATTCATGAATGCAGAGGGCCAACTGTAATTTCTAAGCTTTTTCATCTTGACAACAGTGTATTATGTTAAGTTATGAATAAAGTGTTTGTGAAAAGACAATTCACTGCAGACATCAGGCTTCCCACCGCAAGGTCTCGTTCTTACCCAAAGGTTCAAAATCCTGGTTACAAACCCTCATTGTGGCCCTATTATTTAATCCCAACTAGAACTATTTGCAGAAAATTTTATAAACCTTCCCAAACTAAGACAAAAGCTATAAATTCCACCTTCTGATTCTCAGATCCACTGGAGTGTACGTAATAATGAGGTATGTTTTGACTAGTCTTTATAATCCAATTAAAATACGTTTTTATCTTGAAGGTTTTTAATTTGATTTGAATGAAAAATAGAGGGCGAGAATGAAATGTCACATCACAAAGACAGCTTTGTTTTCAACATTTAAAATCTTTGCCTAGTCTTTAATGAAGGCAAAATCTCTGTCTAAGAAGCCTGCAGCTTGCTGTAGAAATGAAACTGTCCTGTTCACAAACCTGGCAAAAGGAAACATATGAACTAGATACTTTAGATTCTAAAGTAAGAATTAAAAATACAACACTAGTATTTAAGTGTCTAACCCTCAAAATGCTATTAGTGGTGTAGACTCATAATTTGTAGGTTCTGGCAATTTGACCTATAAGTCAATTTTGCAAATCAAATCATAAATAAAAATGCATTTTGGTTAAGTTACTGTGCTGGAAGCTTCAAGAGAAACCTTTTTAAGACAAATAATCATCCCATATGTATTTGACCTACATATATTTTGCATTTTTCCTCCCGCAAGGGACAATGGTCCCTTGAGTTGAGGAAATGACTGGAAATGTATCAAATATTACAAAAGACCTCTCCTCATATCTCTGGACTAGCTGGCTCATGAGGATTGAATCCAGTTTTTTTCCTTGCAGAGTTGACAAGTAGAAACAAGGAGAGCAGCAGAGTAGCAGGAAATAAAAACACACCACGGGTGTTGGAAGGCCACACCTGCTGTCCAGGTGGAATGAGGAACAGGCGTGGCCAACATCCCATAGGGTGTGCCCAGGAGAGCCATAGCTCTTGTCCAGAATTTGGCCTCAAATTAAGCCCAGGATGGGACCCCTGGGTCACAGAAATACTGCTTTTCTTAGTTAATACCCCACTGAAGTACATTTCTCATGTGCTTAAAACATCGTGTCATATTATCAGGTCTATTCCAATGACTCACTTCACAACTGTTCGGATGGATCACAGAAAAGAAGTGACATTTCAAAAGCCTTCAAACTTACACCAAAGACTTATGATGCATCAGGCAGACACGTGCATTCAATGGGCTTTCCACACTTTTGTAGCCATTGTGGGTTTCTTGGTTAAAGGCAAGTGAGTAATTTATATGGACTTTGTCTGATCGTGGTCATAAGGGTTCTTTCTAAAAGTAAAAGGCTCACTGCTACTTAGATGTTAGTCATTATAATACTATTTATAGCTATAACAGAATGTATATACAGAGAACAAAACATATACACCCACATTTATATATAATATACTTACATACATAACCAACAGAATGACAAGAATTCCTTGCAACAATTTTGCAGACATTACCTGCTTCCATTCACTCGCTCAGTTCGCTCATTCACTAATACTTAATAAATGGCTCGGTAAACAAGAGGCATGGAGACTGAGGGAAAGAGAGGCTGTAGTGACAGTACTCCTTCAAATCCAACCAGAGTAACTCCACCTTGCAGCTAGCTGCCACTGAGCTGTTCTATAAACCAGACGGTGACAAAATTAAGCCATCTTTCCCATGGTCAGATAGCGTTTGCTGAGAACAGCAGAATCCCTGACACGAACAAGGACCAGTGAATATATCAAGTAACTTCCCTAGAGTCTGGTTTTGTTTGTTCCTGATTTATCGGAGCCTGTGGTCACCTCTGCTGCACTCCAAGCCCAGATTTATCGATTCTGCTGGAGACTTAGAGTCATATAAAACAGGAGCTAGGTAGGCAGGGGGTGAGTGACCTGGTGATTTTCGGTGAAGGCAGCCATCTGTGGTCATCCACCACTCTGGAAAAAACTCCTAGGAAACTAATTTACTCATCAAGTTGGATATGTATGAGTCATTCTTTGGGCTTTAGAACCATCCCAGTTCAGAGGCAGACATTTCTTTTACGCTTCCCCAGGAATTCACTCAACATTAGTAAAGAAGGAAAAAAGAACGTAGGATAGTTACACCAAGACCGTAGATACAGAAAACAACCTCATACCACACACACACGTGAACTCAGCACATGCCAGCGTTTACCTGCACTCGCCAAAGCTCGAACCTGCAGAGCCTCAGTAGGGATCATGTGTCGAAACCGGAAGGGGTCCCACTCCTCGTAGATGGAAAGCCTGTGGGACCCTACCTGCAGGAGAGGAGGGGCCAGCTGTGTAAGAACAAGCACGTGTACTTGGGCCATCTCCCTCCATGTGTCACAGCACTAACAGCCTCTCACTCAGGAACCCCAGTGTGTGCCCAAAGGATTGTCAGCCTCGTGTCCTCATTTGTTCACTGAGCAGGAAGCTGGAAGCTGTGTGACAAGTATGCAGAGGATGTATACAGATGATAACTAAATGCAGGTGAGAGAGAGACACAGGAAGATGAGAAAACAAGAACAGAGGCAACAGAGCTGGGGAAAAACCGTGTTGGGAAGGTCCTGGTCTATGGGCGTGAGAGCATTCTCAGGCTCTACCCGTGAGCCTACGGGAAGAACGCAGCACGGGCAGGTGACGTCTAGACTCCTTGGGAACGCTTGCAAAAGAGCCCAAAAAGACTCATGCTGACAAAGAGGTAGGAGGATGCACAGACAACTGAGAAGCCAACAGAAAGAGAAAATTTCAAACGACTAAATAAGTAAAAAGTCTTACAAGTTTCTTCTTCTGTTTGGAACCATCTTTATATACAAGGACCACAGCAGTTTTGAAGACTGGAAGAAAAAAAAAAAAGACATTTACATCACGAAATGCTTGGGGTTTCCCCTTAACCTTGATAACTGTGGTAATGACACTACACTAAGAGGAAGAGATTGCAGAGAACTGACTGCCACACGCCTTCCATTCACTCATCACATCTGTGAAAATCAAAAGCCCCCAGGACAAAATTTTCCAAATCCAAGCTAAATGGAGAAAGTCTGAATAAATGCAAACTTTCAGGTGAAATATAATATCTTAATTATACTACCCCAAGGTTAAAACTTAAGATATACCCGATCATCGAAAGTGAACTAAATTAAGTATCTGGGTAATAAAAATGTCTTTAATAATACAATTGTTAAGGTGATTTACATTTATGCAAATTAAACCAATCTTTCTCTGTCTCACATACACACACACATAACATAGTGCTCATAATTTAGTGTTTCATAATTTGTATTTTTTGAGCTAAAGAAATGAAACCTAGTTAACTTTTGTTTGAAATCACACCCAAACGTCAAAGCTGTCATTTTGAATGATCTTATTTATGGCTTGTAGTCATAGACATGGTCATTATGACTACAGTCAGCCTTTGTTCATAATCCCAATTTTAATTTTTCCTCTTTTTCTTCTGAATAATGATAAGCTTGCCTTTTATCAGAGTCTCATCCCATTACCCAAGCCCCCTACAGTGTTTGCCTGACGTCTGTGGGGTGCTCTGGGTTGGAGTACACAGCATACATTTACAGCTGGGACAGGTGTCCTGAGTTCACCTTCCTGTGAGTCAGCTACCCAACATCAGCCTCCCATAAACACCCCAGGAGGCAGAGAACAGAAGAGTCCTACCTGAGCCTATAGAACAAGTGGCATTCCATGTCCTAAACCTTACAACCTTCACCCCAGGGAAAATTTGGCTTCTGGGGCCAAATTCTAGCCTGCTTGCCTGCTCCACGTGTGTGGTACAGTCTAACACAGAAATCTTATCATCCTACTGCCTGTGATTGCTTTCAGCTCCACTGGCAAAGTGTATGGCCTTTAGGCCCTAAGATCTTAAAATTACTGTGTGGCCCTGATCAGGAAAAAGTTTGCCAACCCCACTGTTTCCCATTCAAATGACTTTCTTATTCTAAATCTGTTCACTTCTAACTGTTTAAAATCTATAAAATCTAGGGCTGAAGTCATGAAATATCCAAATGTTGAGCTCTGGAACTGGTAGCCTATAGCCCAATGTCAGAAACAAGTCGACAGTGTGGGCCATTTCCTTCAGTGTCCTGTGTCCCATAAATGACACAGTAAGAAGCATCAGCAGCCTAGCCCTCTCCAAGAAGAAATCACTATCACAAAACACAGTGGTGATGATAAAAAGAAGCAAGCCTCTTGCCCTACCCCCAACCCTGCAAGCACGCATCTCATCAAAACCAGCAGCTTGTTAAGACTCCCCAGTGCTGCCTTGTACGCCCAACTTAGTCACACTTTTTCTCAGCATACTTACACACTCTTTTGTTATTCTTAACAAAATGTCATCAACATCTATAGTGGCTCCTGGGAGATTTCAGGGCCATCACTAATTTCTTGATGAAGGCTAAGTGGATCTAAGCAGGAAGCCCACTAAATCTTTGTATTAACACTCTGATTTTAATATCACTAGGATGTGCTATTTGTGAATACTTTGTTCACATCATGGAGCGGAAGAGACAGTTCAGTTAAAGAAGCAGTAAGCAACCTCCACTCCTGCAACCCCAGAAATGGAATGTGGGGGTAACAGAATGCTAACACTACATTTCCTAGCCATGAATCTTTAGGGAAAGGAAAAAAAAAAATCTAGAAAACAAAACAAAACCCACAACACAAAACAGAAGCGAGGACACTTTGTGTACAGGAATGGTACTGCAATCTCACAAGCTGTATTTCCTGAATTATACACAACTTCTAGCATGTTTTTCTCCCTCAAAAAGCATATAAATACAACATAATCAAGGGATCACCAACTGTATCTACTTGAACTAGATTATGTCTACTTTCACAAGTATTAGTAAACAGTATTATACTATTTCACAAGTACTTCACAATGGTTAAGATGTTCCTAATTGAGTCATGCAGAATTTCAACACAAGTCCCACGGACAACCAACCCTCTAAATCCTGCCATTGCAGACAGCAATCAGAGCCAGAGAGGGAATACAAAACCGAGGATTTGGGATTTCAGAGACAGTTTTATCTTGATTTTTTTATTTTACTTTTTCTTGATTTTTTACTAACCCATTATTTTTAAAAGGTGCTTGGACCAGCAGCCAATTTTTTAAAAATTCTTTCCCTGCCTGTGTTCATACCTGGGGTAGACGGACCAGCCATGTCTACCTAATCCACTACATTGTACCTGTTTAACTTGAAGGTTTTTATTTCAAATTTGTGAGAGGGTGGTGGCCAGAACAGGAAGATCAATTCAGCAAATGTTGTCAGCTTTATTGTAATAAACCACGTCTTCAAAAAGACACATTCTTGTTTTGAAAAATAAGGCAGCTCTTTCCCCCTCCTTTAAACCCCTCTTCTGATACATACCGAAGGCTGCCAACTCTGGCTCTTTCTTCCACTTTCCCAGTGAGGCCGGCGGGTTTAGCCAGATGACATTGGTGTGCAAAAGCAGATCCCCCATGCTCAGATCTGCCACCTGCAAATCACAGATGTGGCAAAATTTATTGCAAGGTGTGATCCAGACTCAGGTTTTCATACAGCCTTAAAACCTGGCAAACTCATGTCAATTTTACATCAGGAAAATGTTGTTCTTAGGAACATGTGGTTAAGTATGTGAAAGAATGCCTAAGTTAAATAACTTGCTTTGACCATTCCACAATGTATCAAAACATCAAACTGTCACCTCCCACACTATAATTTACACAGCTCCAAGTTGGTCTCCAACTTACCATGGAGACCAACTCCATGGTAAATTTTCAACATCATGATGGGTTTATTGGGGAATTAAGTAAGTTTTTAACTCAGTCATTTCCAACTTGAGATGGATGGACTGAAACTAATCCCGTCGCAAATTGAAGAACCATTACAATTTTTACTTGTCAATGGAGTAATTTACTTTAAATGGGGTAATTAAAAATAAAGAGCACATAAAATGACAGATCACATTTTTAAAATACTACCAATTTGTCTGTGTCTCAATAAACTCCATCTCCACGTGAACCAAGAGGGTGCAGCTATCATAATATCTATTTTATTTTCCTAACACCAAATGCTAGCATCATTGTAGTGCACCAAGTTTAAGCTAGAGACAATGTGATAATGTTTTAATGAAAAAAATCCCTAATTCATGACATGTCTAAATTGAAATATGAATCCTTTATATTATCAAAGAAACACACAAGATCCACAAAAAAATCATGTTCAACTCTTCTCCTTATTCCATGTTTGTCTGCTACAACTTCAGGACTAAGATGGCAAAATTCACCCACAGTGCATCCGTCAAAACTGAGCAAATAATTAGAGCCATTTTACATTCAAATAGAGAAGAGTCCCCAAGGACATACTAATGCTGTCAATGACACAGATCCACTTCTGAAAACAAAGTCATTTCCATCCCTTTGGTCTTCCAGGAACCCACAGCATCAAATTATTTCTCCTTCTTCTAATTCATTTTAAAGAAAATTACACTTTGCTTTAGGGGAGGAAGAGAGAAACCAAAGGAGGAGTTGGAAGATTGTGCTACGGACATGTGTAGCATGTATACTCAGCTCCCCAGAGACCATGAAGTCAAGCCATGGCCCCACCGCTCAGCAGTCAGATGTTAAATGAGCTCAGAAAAACAAGCACTTCTCCTTATGGATCCACTCCTATTTGCACTTTCCATGTGGCTTGGATAACAGACATGCACATCTGTGCTCAGTTATTGGTTGAAATGGGGTCTTACTAACTTTTTTTTAGAGGGGTAGGCATCAATTGGCCTCAAATCATGATCCTCCTGATCTCTGCCTCCTGGGTAGCTAGGATTACAGGCATGAGCTACCACACCTGGCCTCAAGAAAGAAATTCTTTAAAACTAAGTTCAATAGTTTTAAATTGCATATTGGTCTAAATAATGTGATGAAATCTTGTACTATACCTCTCCATCCTATCCAGGAGGTGAGTCCTATTTGAGACATGGTATGCTGCCTGCCCATTCTGTAGCCATCTTGGTTATCAAGTTGACTATTAGGATATTGCAGTACTTGTGTTCAACTTACCACTTTTACTTAACAATGGCTCTAGAGTACAAGAGTAGTATGCTGGCAATTTGGATGTGTCAAAGAAAAACCCTACAGTGCTTTTTAATTGAAAAGGTGAAAGTTCTCAATAGATTTTTAAAAATTTACAGTAAGAACAATCTAGCCATGAAATTGTAAAGGAAAGAGAAATTCATTCTAGTTTGTCACACTTCAAACTGCAAGATGTTTCACCACTGTGTATAAAAACTCCTTAGTTAAGATGTAAAGGCATTAAATCCGAGTGTGTGTATGTAGAGGAAAATCCCTAATATATGCATTCCCCATGGCTAAGAAGGAACCACAGTAGCCAGGTCCAGCCTTTCTTACTGGAGTCATTGCACCACTTCCAAATCCATCAAAATCTAAGCTCCCCAGCCACTGGGGATTCGCTCAGCAGCACAAGCACAGGTGGGAAGATGAGCTGGACTCTTAACCTTGCCTCTGTGTAAACATGTCAGTGGACAGGACTTTAGGACAATCATACTCCAGGATCGGTCCCACGTGCAAATACAGCAAATCATTAAGATGCTCTTTCCCCAGTGTGTCTCCCAGGTGCACCTACCACAGGCCTGGCACTTCTCTTAGTCCAGAAAAATCAAACTCAATTCCCTCTTCCTTAAGGCAACATTCCAAACATTTGAAACCCTAAGGCTGAGCTTCTTCAGGACAATTGGCTCTCAGTTACTCTGCTGAATGTGATTGCTCTGTGTTTCTGGAGACAGGAGCAACATGGCAGCTTTCCATTTACACTCCCTTTGCAAGCCACTAAAAGAGGCCATGGTGCAGGCGATACAGCTCCGTCAATAACAGAACACAGAGATATCATTGCTCCCTTCATCAGATTTATAATACTTACTATACGATTAATAGTAACAACCAAGGCTAAAAAATTTAAGCAATCAAATGACTTTGCTTATAATAATATTAAATCACAGCTCAACCAAATCCCCAGGCTATCATCCACTAAGGAACGATCTAGTTCTCCACCACCTACTTCCCACCCCCAAATGGAAGAAGAGTAGTTACACACGTAGAATAAATTCTGTGGCACCCTTCTGAGCCATTGCTTAGGTGATCAGAAAACATGAAAAAATGCTCACCATCTCTAGCAATAAAGGAAATGCAAATTAAAACCACGCTAAGATTCCACCTCACCCCTGTTAGAATAGCCATCATCAGCAACACCACCAACAACAGGTGTTGGCGAGGATGCGGGGAAAAAGGAACCCTCTTACACTGTTGGTGGGAATGTAGACTAGTACAACCACTCTGGAAAAAAATTTGGAGGCTACTTAAAAAGCTGGACATCGATCTACCATTTGATCCAGCAATACCACTCTTGGGGATATACCCAAAAGACTGTTACTCCAGAGGCACCTGCACATCCATGTTTATTGCGGCACTATTCACAATAGCCAAGTTATGGAAACAGCCAAGATGCCCCAGCACTGACGAATGGATTAAGAAAATGTGGTATCTATACACAATGGAATTTTATGCAGCCATGAAGAAGAACGAAATGTTATCATTCGCTGGTAAATGGATGGAATTGGAGAACATCATTCTGAGTGAGGTTAGCCTGGCCCAAAAGACCAAAAATCATATGTTCTCCCTCATATGTGGACATTAGATCAAGGGCAAACACAACAAGGGGATTGGACTATGAGCACAGGATAAAAGCGAGAGCACACAAGGGAGGGGTGAGGATAGGTAAGACACCTAAAAAACTAGCTAGCATTTGTTCCCCTTAACGCAGAGAAACTAAAGCAGATACCTTAAAGCAACTGAGGCCAATAGGAAAAGGGGAACAGGAACTAGAGAAAAGGTGAGATCAAGAAGAATTAACCTAGAAGGTAACTCCCATGCACAGGAAATCAATGTGAGTCAATGCCCTGTATAGCTATCCTTATCTCAACCAGCAAAACCCCTTGTTCCTTCCTATTATTGCTTATACTCTCTCTACAACAAAATTAGAAATAAGGGCAAAATAGTTTCTGCTGGATATTGAGGGGGGGAGAGGGAGGGGGCGGAGTGGGTGGTAAGGGAGGGGGTGTGGGCAGGGGGGAGAAATGAACCAAGCCTTGTATGCACATATGAATAATAAAAGAAAAATGAAAAAAAAAGTGATTAAAGACTTCTGTGGCAGACCATCCAAACTCTACTACCACCTATAGAACTATGGATATGCATTTTCTGCCACGTGACTTTTCCTAGCACTTTCCAAACTGGGAAGAGCGTACATCTCTTGCCGGTAGGATTTTGGGTGTGATCATGTGACTTGAGCTGTGGACAGGCTATAACACATTTCTACACTTCCTCTTGAACGTCTACCATCCAGCTATGCAAAGGACCTGCCCAAGACAGTCATTATTGCTTCAGACTGGATCCTAGAAGGAAGAGACATGTAGCATGTCTGAGCTGTAGAATATAGTATGCTGCAACAGAAGGCAAAACGAAGCTACCTACACACTCATGTGTGAAATATACCAACTGTAGTGACCACTGAGATTTTGGTTGTTTGTTACACAGAAAAAATAGATACAGCCCCTGTGCAGCCAATTTCCCTTGATAAGTTTCCATGTGGCAAGCAGAATAAGGGTGTGTGGCTGCTCACTCTGGTCAACAGTCTCCCCCTTGGGTTTCTACTGCCTCTCTGAGTCTTTCTCCCAAACCCAAACAGTGGGTTCTGATGGGAGGCCTTTGCCTCAAGTAGCTTGAGGCCTTCTTCTAAGGGAAGATGCCCTCTTAGCTTCTTTTCCCTCCTACCTAGTCAAAAAGGATGCTCTAAGGGGTACAGCCAAGTTTCGAAGAGTTTCACATGGGGCAGGGCTAGGGATGGTGACTGAAGGCTCAGCTTCATTATAAAATATTTCCTTGTCAGCTTTGTTTTTTGTGAACATATTTTCTTTTAGAGATATCCCAAGACAAGTTGGCTGATGAGAGGATTCAGGTACCCTGTGTCCCTAGAATGTTACATTTCAGTAGAACCTGCTGTTAGCAGCCGACAATGATAAATATTCCTATTCCTAACTGCTTACAAACTGTTCATGAATCCCTTCCAGGTTTTCATTGGATGCTGTCATTAAAAGGGAACTGTAAGGATCAGGAATAGCCTTTGTGAGAATCAGAATATAAAGTGTGACCTCCACAAACACCCGCCACAATGCTGCAGTGGTGGTGTGCACCTGTCAGTGATCCTGACATGGACCACATATTTCCCAGGACTCTTTCCGGGGTTTTATTCTTGTGGAGTCAAGGCCCATTGCATTCTTTCCAGTATGAAGAGCATTTTTTCTCTACGGACACCAACAGGGCCTTTAATTTTGCTCCTTGACTAATCAATGACCTTTGACCATCTGGTTTACAGGGGCCTCCTTCCTCCTGTTCATCTTATCCTCCTCACACAGTCTTTTGTTGCTCTCTTTTGAAATCTCCTGTGAGCCTTAATTTCTCTACTTTGGACCTTCAGATACCTACATATGCTTTTACCACTCTTTGATACTGCCATCTAATCAAGGTTCCGACGTCTATCTTTTGCGTATCTCTATTTATAATCTCAGTTCACTAGGAAATGCTTCGTGTAGCACCAGCTCTCTTTGTCCCATACTGGACAGATTTCTTACTTGATTGACTAAGTTTCTTTTCAAAGGCCTGCCAGTTTCAGCTAAGCCACATTCGCTTAAGGAACAGTCTCTGACTTCTAAACATACTCATCTTTGTTTTGCTCCATTCTTTGTAGCACAACCTATATCACCTACTCTTCATCAACATGGTCATTTGTTCCTAAGATCATTAAAACCCAAAATTCATTTGACACATAATGGAAATACAACAAAATATCATGAAAATGTTTATTTCCATGACCCAGTAAACTCTGCTTCTGTCGGAATGTAAAAACAAACTAACAAAAAACCTCCTAAAATACAGCGAAGGGAAGTCTTATAATGAAAAGGTCAAAATATTATCCAAAGGGGTCAATAAATGAAGAGAAGAGAATGGTCTAACAATAGGAATTAGGTAAATCACTGTTTATCCACACGATGAATATACTACGCAAAAACTTAAAACATGGGAAAAATATATTAAATTACTTACAAAATGTAACTATTTAAGTGCATATATTTTTGGTAATTTTTCTAAATGAAAATAAATACTAAATCATTAGAAGTGGTGTGTTCTGTGTTTTGCCCTTTTCCTTAATAAGGACTTTTTTCTTATTGTAAATGTATTGTTACAAGAGAGTGAAAACTAATTCCAGGGCAATGGCACCCATCTTTTCTGAACTCTGAAAGATTAAATGGATCTGCCAAGTAGGTTGAGAACATTTTCATGTTCTGTTTGTAGCGTTACAAAGAAAAGAACCTCTATGTCAGTTGAAAACTTCAGTGTACCTTCCTGGGCTCTCAATTCTAACCTTACACCTGTCTTTGACACCTTTGCAACTCTCTATAAGGTGAAGGTAACGGATATGCAAATCCTGTCCAGTCTGACAGGAGCCTCAAAGATTTCCTCCAGCTGTGAAAAACCCAGTTTGTCTCCATCTGCGATTCATCTTCGCATTTCTTTACTGCAGACATAAATCTATGTGCTTCTGACTTTTCCATGAACTCTAAAAACATTTGCCCGGGTACTTTCTATCTTAGAAGTAAAAAAAAAATTCCTTCACATGTCCATTTTTTACATCTCTGTGAGATATTATGATTTTTACCTCTTCTTGGATATTATCTCTTAACAGATGAAAATTTGTTCACTGAGGACAGAAAAATGAACCTGGTAATGACCCTTTCCCCTGAAGGTAAGGTGTCTTCTCTGGTTGAGACTAGACACCAAACTTCACCTCTTTTTCCTTCCTTTACTCCTCCTAACCACGGCAGGGAGCTTCCTCATGGCTCCTCCCTCTTTGCTTTCTTTCCCCCTTTGATGTGGAATGCAAGACTGAGCACAGTGCTCCAGCTGAACCTCGTGTACCGACAGTGAGGAATAACAATCAGCACCATCAGCATTTTTTTCATGTATTGAAAAATGACTCTTCAATGACTTGGGCACAACTGTCATTTCACTCTAAGTCCTTCTCTGGTGTATCTGCTCCTGTCACTGCTTCTACTAAGTAGGTTTCCCAGAAGACTGAAAACAAGAATGATTCAAACTCACTGGAAACTTCTATTCATTTAACAAACATTTACCTAGCAGCTACTGCATGTTAGATATTATTCTAATCTCCGGAGATATAGTTTCAGCTTTTAATGGAACTCACAGAACAGCCCAGATGGTGGGAATGGCACAAAATAAAACCAAAGATCCCAAAACTGAAGAGCGAAGCATCAGAAAAATGATTCCTATATTAAGAAACAGTCCAAGGTTGGGTATACTGGTACATGCCTGTAATCCTAGCTACTCAGGAGGTAGGGAAAGGAGGATCCAGGTTTGAGGCCAGCCCCAGGCAAAAAGTTAGTGAAACCCCCTCTGAAAAAACAAGCAGGACAAAATGATGGTACACAGATAGTCAGGAGGCAGAGGTAGGAGAATCAAGGACCAAGGTCAGTTTGAGTAAAAGCACAAGACCCTATCATAAACAGGAAAAAAAAAAAAACCTAAAGCGAAAAGAGTTGGGGGTGTGGCTCAAGTGTTCCTAGCAAGCTCAAGGTTCTGAGCTCAATCTCCAGTACTGCCAAAAAGAAAAAGTAAACAGTACAAGTAAGGATGAAAATTCATGTTGTCACCTTGGATACAGGACAAAAGTCCCACCAATGAAAGCAGTAGCCTAACTATTGTCCTTCTAAATGACACCTTATTAAAAGAGAAACCACGAACCCCAATCCAGCCTGGTCAGCAGGTGGCCTGAGGAGAAGGGGTTCCTTACCTCTTTCTTCTCACCGGTCTGCTCAGCAATCAGCTGGTCAAAGACAGCCCCAAATTCTTCGTGAATTTTCTGCATCTCGTTGATATGACTGGCAACCTTGTTCATTGTCTTGATGGCCACTAGAACACAGGTGGTGCAAGAGGAGGCGGTCAGAGGCCCTCCCCAGGACAGGAGCCCAGGACGCTTGGGCGGTACTCACCATCCAGGTGGTAGTGCTCCTCGCTCTCTGCATCGGTCAGGGCAAACAGCTCCTTGAGCAGAAGTGGATACTTGAGGACCCTCTGGATAGGCTTGATGAGGTAAGACTCCAGAGTGAATGAGTGCTGCTGCCGCGGATTCTGGGCGTCCAAGAATGCCTTGAAGGCTGTGTCAGTCTTGGCTGCAAGGGTTGAAACAAGCTGTCAGGCTGAGAAGGCACAGTGGCCTCCTTCTCACCAGATTACTCATTTCTTCTAATTCCAAGGTCCCTTTTTAGAGGACTGTGCACAGAGTGGGCTACAGGAAGAGGTGGGAGGCTCAGCTCAGACACAACTGGACAGGACAGATGTGCTGGTTTAGTGCGGACACTGATGGGGTAAAGGATAATAGATCTTGCAAATTCTAGACACCCAGATGCTCAAGGGCATTGCTTATCCTCCTCCTATTAAATATGTCTTTTTATTCCAATTTTTGACATTTGGGCCCTTACTGACCCTGGGGAGACTACTACACCCAGGACTAATTAATTACAAAGGTAATAAAGGATTTGTCTATAAGCATCAAGTCAGAGTCCCCATGCACTGCCACAAGGCTCTGACATCATCAGGCCCCTGTCCTCATCAACTCAGCCTAGTACCACACAGCTCAGCACCTGCCACCTCCCAGAGAGCACTGAAATTACTGAAGCTAGAAATGCTAAGTCTGCTTCCCAGCCTCACCCGTCCCTCCCCACTGAAACCACAGTGCTCTCCCTCCTCCATCTCCTGACCAGCCCTGGTGCTTCCCCATGTGGCCCTGCCTGGCAGGTGCTCCTCCCCCGGGGACCTGTGATAACAGGCTAGAGCAGTCATCTCCTGATCTGTGGCCTCACCACACCTGAGTGATCACAAAACGTATCTTCAACACTCTCGCCCTGGCTTTCCTAAGCTTTCAAGCATTTTGCTGCTGACAGAACTTCTTTGTACAAAGGCAGGGACACAGCAGCAGCAGCAGCATCTCCATGCAATGCTGGTTAAGTGGAGAGAGGCTGGAACTCCCACAGTAATGGGATCAATGTCAGCTCAGCACTACCAGCTATTAGTGTCTGAGCATGGGGATCTGACCCTGGGAGCTCCGGCAGCACTGCTCTCCCCAACCTTACTTTCACCACTGTCCCAGTTGGGCTGACAAGCAGCTCCGGGAAGCTGTGGGGCCCCAAACAAGCAGGGGGGAACCTTCCAGTGCAAGATAGGAAAATGGCCAATGTCTTGGTGCAAAATAATGTTGGAGGGAAGGCAACAGGGAAAGAGGGAGAGAGAACATATGCAAGTGACTGAACAGTGGGCACATGGAGTGTCCAGGCTGGTGAAAATATCACAGTGCAGAGAGGTGGTGCACTCGAGCAGGCATGGAAGCTTTGGCCCCTGCACACTATCTTGGCCTAGGTTCCTCTTCAGTTTGGCTATGTCTGGGTTGTATCCTTTACAATAAATCAGTGAACATAGGCTGGTGGCATAATTCAAGTGCACTTGCTGGCAAGTGCAAGGCCTTGAGTTCAATTCCCAGTACCACAACAAACAAACAAAACAACCAGTGAACAAACCCAGTCAACATCTGGACATACTCATTCTTCACTTTCAGAATCTATGTGTTCACTTATGACTTTGCCCTCAGAAATTATACAGACACTCCAAGGACTCAGCAACTGGCATGCCAGAGGAGCTCGGCTAGCTCTTAAATAAATGAGTAATAATACAATAGGCGCACATTAAAAATATATAGCCGGGCTCCGGTGGCTCATGCCTGTAATCCTAGTTACTCAGGAGACAGAGATCAGGGGGATCGAGGTTCAAAGCCAGCCCGGGCAAATAATTCTGAGAGACCCTATCTCGACAATACCCTCACAAAAAAGGGCTGATGGGGTGGCTCAAGGTGTAGGACCTGAGTTCAAATCCCAGTACTGCAAATATATATATATGTATATATATATACATATCTCTCTATATACACACACATATATGTATGTGTATATGTGTATATATGTATTTAACACGCACACTCATTCCCAAGGGTTAGAAGTGTGAGCTAAGACCAAAGCTATCATAAAACAGCATCAAGAAATTGTGAAAGGAGGGGGTTGGTGGAGTGGCTCAACTGGTAAAGAGCCTGCCTAGCAAGCATGAGGCCCTGAGTTCAAACCTCAGTAGCAGAAAAAAAAAATTATAAAGGGATTCTTCCAACTTTACACAATTCAGAAAATCAGCAATCACAGGGGAAGACCACACAGGCCATATTTACTCAACCCTTTTAAGTCTTATGAAGAGGAATCAGACTCTACCAGTTCAGCTATCTTAGCTCCTATTTCAAAGAAATCCCTACCAAGAAAGGACAAGTGACCTACTGGCCTATGAGCCAGGGAAGCTGGGCCAGTCCAGAGCTGATGCATGAGGAAGCTGTTGCTTGGACAGAACCCCCCCACATGCCCCACAGTTCTCAAGTCCAAAAACATGGCCGGGGTTCTCTAATCCATGAGGTATATTTCATATTGGAGGAGGGGTGGGGCTTCACAGTGGTTGGTGAGGTACCAACCCAGCTGTGAGTCTGTTAAGAACCACAGATGTGTACTTGGTTCCCAAAGAGTTCTTTTCTTTCTCTTGGCTCATTTGGCAGTTAGGAAAAGTAGGTCATGGATACTGTTTTAAGGTTTTGAATGATTGTATAATATTTTCCAGGTGCAAAAAATAATGTTATTAAATTAAGAAAAATCCATGGGGCAGACTTAATCTAATTAAGTGATTATAAAAGCTCTAATTACTTAAAGGAATGTAATAGATGCGTAACTTCACTGTAGAACAAAGTACTCTAAGCTGGTTACTTTAATAATCTAATAACAATTAGCAATCAATAAAGAATTTAAAAGAAACACACAGACACATACAGCATTTGTCAAAACATGGTTAAGATTAGGCAGCATGAGAAGGGGTTCCTAGTCCCCTGCTGCACAGACTAACACCACCATCATGTCTGTCATTATCTGGGGCAGGCTATTTATCAGCCAGAGTACATGAATAGTTCTTATAATACATTTTAAATTAAGTCAGTCTAGTTTTCTTTGGTAGCAACTTAAAATACAACACATGGAAATTATTTACATATCCAGGCACTTGATCAGTAGATGTTTATTTGGGAACCACAATGAAACATTTAAGAACAGCAGGCTGACTTCCAGACATTCTTGTAATGAAACCTTCTGTTGATTATACTGTATACCAAGGAGGCATTTATTTAATAATTTTTTTGGGGGGGTGTGAATCTTTATTTCTATTAATGGATAATACACGTGTATTACATTGACTTATGAAAACCTTTTGATTCAATATTAGTGAATGTTTCATTTTTTTTGTCACAGGGTCTTGCTACATAGCCCAGGCTGGCCTCAAACTTGCAATCCTCTAGTTAACCAACCTCTTCCTATTCCCTATACCACCTACCCTTCTCAGCCCCTGTTAACTGTACTTATATTTTTAAAAATTTCTATGAGATCAACTTTTTACCTATCACCAACCATCACATGCTGAATGAACTAGGTGAAACATAACTGTTAGAGACCCTCGGAATGTCACATCTTCTCAGAACACTTAAGAAAGGTATCTGGGCTGAGGACATAAGTCAGTACTAGAGTGCTTGCCTCACAGGGGCAAAACAGAAGGGAGAAAGGGAAGGAGGGAGGGAGGGAAAAATAATCTTGACAATATGAAAACTCTGATTCATTCTGTGCAAAAATAACTATCATCTAGAGCAATTTTCATGAATAGCTCAAACGACTTTAGCAGTGCTATCAGTAACTGTTATCACACACTTAGGGACAAAAATAGGCAAAGGAAAGATCAAATTTCACACAAAAAATATGAAGTGTGGTAGGTTAGAATAGAAATTAATGAAAAACAAACACAGCAGTGATTTTTAAACTATCTATGTTTGTATTTATTTTTGTTTAAGGACCTTTATTATTTTATTAATACTTCCACAATTTATTATAATACCTAGCAAAGGATTTAAGTGGCTGTTTTTCTTTAAGTAAGTAACTCTTAGATTTCTGTCTAAAAGCCACCAATCACAGTTAGCCATAAAAATGTGAATTGGTAAGGGACACTCCTGCCTGCCATCCAATCCTCAGAGGTCTTACCCTTCACCAGGACCTTGGGGACCTTTGTGTGGCTGGCGCAGAAGGCACTGTAGAGCTTGAAGCGGTCGGCATAGTACAGAAAGGATCCTCCCAGAGAGAAGAGCACTTTCTGGAATTAACAAGAAAAAGCACAGTTGGTTCACGTCACTCCTTGTTTGGACACCTTGGCAGGAGAAAGCAGGGAGCTCACATCTGCTTGACCTTCCTCAACAATCAGCATCACCCACGCCTGTCACAACCAATATCCCAAAATTGACCACGAGAAAGTATGTAGGTTTAAAATTGTGTGCAGTACACATTGGATTTTGTCTTCTCAGAGTTTACAGTGGATATGTCCCTGGCTTTCCAGGTTTGTGTCTTTGAATGACCTATCTGGGATGTTTTAAATGATGAAATTAAAAATATATTCTGGAAAAGTCAGCAATCTCCTGAATTCTCTCACGAGCTCCTGTTAGGAGGCAGAAGTGACAAACCAAATGAAGATAGGAAAGGCTGATGCCTTCAAAATGGAAAACACATCTCCCTGATCACTACCCCCACCCTCTCCAAATCCACTCTGTCCTCTAGCAGGGAGAAGGCAAAAGCATAAGGAATGCTACAGCAAGACATGTGTTTAGCTACAGAAATTAGGCCTGTACACCTGCCCCCAAAGGATCAAACCCGGCCTTCCCTATTGAGACATGGAAATGCCTGATATGGGATACTTTTATTTCACACATTTTTATATGAATGAATAAATGAATGAGCCTCAGAAAAAACAGCCTCCGCAGTTTCACACTGATCTTGCTCAGAGACAGGCTTTGTTTATTTAGGCTTAGAATTAAAAGTTAGGTGCCATGCAAAGAATTAAGCTCCCAAACATGTAATTTATGTAATAAATCGTGCAGAGAAAGTTTTGATAGTCTACTAACAAAAACAACAAAACTGTTTTAGGCCACACATAATTGGCACAATTGGGAGAGACCTAAATTTTCTTCCTCCATGTTTACCTTTTCCTCCTTTACTTTTCAGCCCCCCTACTTGAAGGTATCGAAGGACACATCTGACTCTTTGAGGTGTCATTTGCCTTTGCCCTGGATCACGAGTTAAACAAGAAGAGCTGTGGAAAGCCACATCTTTCATCCACACTAAAGCCATTCATTTGTTGAACTTAATATTAACTAGGCACTTAAGATAACCACAGATTACAGTATCTACTTATTCTTCTGCCTTAAAAATTGATCTCAGGGCACCCAGTGCACACAAAAGGAAGACATTTACACATTAAGCCCACATTTGCCCAGTGATGCTCTTCTGTGGGAGTTCAGAAGGCCTATCTAAGGCTGATGTACATTGCAAATTCCCAAGAGGAAATTCCACCTAACTTAGAGGAACATATTTGTAGTAAGAGGAAGCAGAGCATGGCTGTCTGTGCATAGGAGGTTGTAAGAGGCAGGGGAGAGAAATCTTCCAGGGGCAGGAAGACACCTTTAGGAGTGGTGAGTATGTTCACTGTCCTGAGTATACTGATGGCTTCCCAGGTGTGTGTATAGCTTATCAGACTGAACACTTTAAATACATGCAGTGCACTGCTCAATTAATGTCTTTGAAAAGTATACAAGGGTGACATGAAAGCCAATACATGCATCACTGAGTTTTGTCGACTGGAGGTTCAGACCAGGAAATCTCTGCAATAAAGGAAAGTCAGCCAAGGGAGGGGAAATAAACCGAGAGCCTCCTTCCTAAGACACCTAGTCATACATCCTCATTAAGGCTGCAAGGGACACTGTGTGCTAGAAGATTGCCTTCCTCCTGGATAATGATAAGCACTTCCAGAACAGGATAAATTAATTTGTTTACTGGAAGACCAGAGGTGCTATTTTAATTTGTTAATAGGCAATAAATTAAAGGCCTCCTCATAAATGAAAGGTCATGGCTGGCATATCTTCAAAAGTCAGCCAGGGCTGGTGGAGTGGCTCAAGTGGTGTAGCGGCTGACGAGCAAGCTTGAGGCACAGAATTCTAACCCTAGTATTGTTAGGGGTGGGGAGAAAAGAAAAGAAAAGCCAAAGCCATGAACCAGTTTAGCATGAGTGGATGCCATTGGTTTTTCCCTTAGCCAGACAAGCAAGAAAACTGGGTTCCCCACAGACTCCTGTTAGGAACTGCTTCTACCAGTGCAGTGAAGACTTCAACATCACCAACACAACTTACCAAAGAGCACATAAAGCCCTCCGGGCTTCCTCTTGTCCCACAGGACAACCCATCTATGACATGGAGAGGTGACGTTCAGCAACTTGAGGACAGGCTTACCTTAAATTGGTCGACTTTCTCAAGCTTTTCCAAGTCAGGAACCAGTCTCACTCCATCTTCTAGAGTTTTAAGGAATTCTACTTGAAACTCTACCATTTCGGTTAAATTTCCAAAGAGCACATCAAGCTGAAAAATGCAAAAACTTAATCCATCCCATTTTTCATGAGTATTCAGAAACTATTTGTATCTGATCATAGGATTTTTCTATCAGTACTGATCAACTAGGATAATGACATCACATCTCTCCAAGTGTGGGCAAAGTTTAGCAGACAACACTCGACCTGCTTATTACAACCAGATGAGTTCAAAATGCCTTCAGTATTATACACGGTCCCTATTCCTCCCTCCTTACCCGTAGGTCAAACTGTAGTACACCCCTCACCAAGTTAGGACAATTTCCATCATACCTCATCTTGGGTGAGAAAAGTCTCCTTTTGAAGAGGTTTCAGGTATCTCTCCATGAGACAGTTTAAGTCCTAAAAGTTAAAAGAATACCTCATTAGCAAGCTTAAAAATCCAGAAAGATTCTAATGGGGAAAAGTAGATCATGCTGTATGCTCCAAATAGTAACAAGACAGTGATTACAGTCCATGAACACAGGACAAAGCCAACCTCTTGTGCAAATATCTGACTCTGCAGGCCTTGGGGTCTTTGCTGTAACCCTAGAACACATATTGCACCCGAACAGCAGGCCTAGATGCTCTGAACAGGAATGAGTATGGCTGTGTTCCAATAAAACTTTATTTGTAAAAACAGCAGCAGGCTGGATTTGGTGTAAGGGCCACAATTTGCTAACCTCTGATTTGGATTAAAATGTAGATAATTAAAAACAGATCACCCTGCTTTCACTTGGGGAATGCAACTAAACATCAGAACAAGTGATAACACAGAGAAAACACCCTGACACCCTTCTACCTAGACTCAAGTTACATTATAAAGACAATGACCTTAAGTTTTTTAAAAAACTAAATTCAGTTTTAGCATTACCTTTATAATATATTTAGCCAGGCCAGAAGGACCACTTAATATTCATCAATTAATTACATATATATCAATACTCATTAATATAAACATTAATTCATATATATATACCAATTAATTCTTATTGTTATAAGAATTGTCATGCTTCCTTAACATTCATAAGGAGACCTTCACATTCCATGAGAGACGCTGACACTCTAATTCTCACAACTTGACCTTGTGTCAGTCAAAAGCAGCACAGACAGCAGCTGCACTCTTTGAAGAAGAGGAGGGTAGGGAGATAGGCCCAGCAGGAATGGGAAGTAGGAGGAAGGGCAGGACATACTTTCACATAGGTGCGCTCTGTCTCCAGCAGCTCACAGATGACCTTGCGCAGCTTATCAGCGTCCGACAGCTGTCTCATGGTGGCCAGCTGAGGCCCTGTGGCGTCCTGAGGAGATGGGCTCATATCTGAAGGGTTCATCTCGTGCAAACTTCGGCAAAATGCAGCCACCTGCTCTGTGCTCTTTGGGCACAGTGGATAAGGCAGATGTAGTCAGCCCTCACTAGAGACTCACCTGGCACCTGGCCCGCATTTTTCTGGTTAATGAACTGTCACATATGAATGATATCTTGTGTTCCCCAAACTGCTGCACACACAGGACAGCTCACTGAATGCAAAAGACACCTAGCAACAAGTGCTAATATATGTGCTTGCTTACCTCATGGCATGCACTGGTCTGGTGCACTTAATCTTCCCACATGGGAAGCAAGGGCTATGATGAAACTCATTGAACAGTAGGACAAACAAGGCTCAGAGAGTTTAAGTAACTTGACCACCAAGACCAGCCAGTAAGTAGCAGATCTCGGATGTGAACCAGACAGTCTGGTTTCAAATGCTATGATTTTTTCTTTTTTAAATTGCAACAGTACTGGGGATTGAACCCAGGGCCTCAGGTATGCTAGGCAAGTGCTTTACCACTAAGCCACATCCCCAGCCCAAAGCCTGTGATCTTAACCATTCTAATAAATCAGAGGAGAGCAGAGGCACAAATTAGCCACAAAGAACAAAGAGTAATTAATTACTACTTTGCGATGTTGAAAACACCTTTCTGCATCCATTAAAACCTGACATTGTGGATGGATACCATGCAGTTTTTAAGTATCTCTCTCCAGATTCTCCAGAAGCAGCAAAGGAACACTGAGCTTTGAGAAGAAATGCGTAGGCTTTGAAACAGGCCTTAGAAGATCTCAGTGTCCACCTCAGTCCAGGTGTAGTGGCTCATGCCTATAATCACAGTTACTCTGGAGGACTGTGGTTCCAGGCCAGCCCAGAAGAAAAATCTGAGAGACCACATAACAAACAAGCTGAACATAGTAGTATACACCTGTGTTCCCAGTGAGGATTGTGGTCTAGGCTAGACTGAACAAAACTGTGTGACCCTATCTAAAAAATAACCTAAAAGGTCTGGAGGCATGGCTCAAGTGTGCAAGGCCCTGAGTTCAAACCCCAGAACTGCCAAAAACAACAACAACAAAAGGGAGGGGGATGATGATTCAGATGAAAACCAAGACTTTGCTATTTAATTGAGGTTCAAGATTTTAAAATTTCAAGGTATAGGAATTATGCCCAGCTGTTCAAAGCACAGGTCACTGACAAGCCAAGGGGATCAGAGCCTCTCCATTCTGGAGCATACTAGAGTCACTGGGGCATCTGTAAACTTCCCAATGACCAGGGTGCAGCTTAAGTCATTTTAATCAAAATTTCAGGGCAGGATGTGCAAGAATCAACATTTGTGAAAACTTCCTGCAGAAATGGTCCAGACACTATCGTGGAGCACAGTCTAGTCTATTTGTTCCAATGCACCTCTCTAAATGTCTGACTGGTGCCTCTGAAGGGCAGTGGCTGCCTTTCTTAGACTCCTCTTCTCTGCTTCTATGGTCAATTCAACCTAGGCACAAAGTTTGCATTTTCAGTATTCTGGTATAGATAAAGAATTACTTCTCTATCACCCAGGAAGTACATACAAACCCTCCCCAAAACAATAGCTGGTACACAGAGCTGGAAGTCAAGCTGACATTGTGTGGAGAGAAGGAAAGCTAAAACCATGTGTATACCATGGGGCAATTTATAAACACACAGAAGAGCAGCTAACGCTAGGGAACCTTTCTCTCATTAGCATATGCAAAGAGAATAAAGACCAAATGAGACAGGGAAAACCATAACCTATCAAATTCAAGTTTACTGCCGCACCACCACAGGGAAGAGCAGAACCATCGTCTATATCCACAAATCAAGATATGAATTCTCTTATCATTGCCACAGCTTTGTTAGTGACACTGCCAACCCTGCCAGAAATAAGTCACCTGTTGGTGGCACCATTCCACTTTCTCTGTGGAACTGTGCATTTCAGGCATTCAATATCCCACAAAGAATTTTTCTTAGATGACCATGGAAAAATTCACCCCAAGGGCTGAATTTTATCTCAATAAGATAAGTGTGAATTATATCTCAATAAGGCTGTTTAAAAAAGAGACATGTTTTTAATCAAAGCTTGTTTCCAGAGAAATAAACTCTACAGTTTTATTTAATTATGACAGGATTTTACTAACTTAGTAGCATCTTTAAACAGGTAGCTAAATAGAGGTTTGTCAAAAAAATTGAAAAGGAAGTCAAGTCTCTTTTTGATAATAGCTATCATAGGCAACTTATAATACAGGATAAAGAGATAAAAATCTGCTATCAAAATAAAAATTCCACGGACAAATGGTGATAAGAGTTGACAACCAACAGCTCTGCCCCCCATCTTATCCCAAACTCTCCTTAGCTGCTTTGAGGGATACCAGGGAAGTTGTAACAGACACCTTTGCTTACTGTACGCTTCTCTTGTCTTGTCTTTTTTTTATGGTTATTGTTACAGTACTGGGGATTGAACTTAGCCTAGTGGCAGGCAACTGTTCTACCAACTGAATCATACCCCCAAGTCCTGTGCTTTTAGTTTGTTTCTGAGATAGGGTCTCCCTACTTTCTGTGTGGCCCACCCTCAAGCCTCTATCCTCCTGTCTCTGCCTCCCAAGAAGCTGGGATTACCGGTGTGCTCTCCTACACTTGGCACAATATTTTTCTAAATGGTCCATCTGTAAGCACAACTGTCTGTCCTTCACATAAAACAATAGTAAAACTACTACTCATGAAAAATATACCCATCAGGGCAGTCCCTTTAGCAGTAGAATACACTTTTTTGTACTTTAATCATTTAGACAAAAATATCCACATGAAATCAGTGTCCCTGAATATTACCAGTATGTCCCAGACTTCACAGGTGGCTCTGACTTCTCACAGGCCAGAAGTATGAAATTCACACAGGCCCTTCCTTCAGACTGCACTGAACTCATCATTCTGGGCCGTATCTCAGCAAAATGACAGAAGGTATGGGGTAGAGTTTCTGGGTTCCTGTTTGCTATGTGATACCATAAATTCTTTGGAGATTTCCAATTCAAGAGCTAACACAGCAGCTGAGTGGCCTGTGGGGAATTCATGCCCCTGAGGTGTGGTACCCTGAGTTCAAGCAGCAGGGCCTGGGCTTAGAGAGGACACTGCACAGACAAGGGAACTACTGTAACCTTAGTATCTGGGGGACACCAAAAGACTCCCTGGGGTCCTCTCTGGTATGCCTTCCTTATTGGATACATTCCTGAGCCTAGGAGAGATTTAGCATGGTCATCTCTGAAATTGAGCAAGGGACAAAGCCATCTCCCCAGTGGCAGCCCTGCTCCCTGACAAGAGCACAGCTTTAGGGGTGTCACAAGGAACCAAGTCCAAATGGATGTCTACATGCGATTTAAATAAAGAATAAAATAGCATCATAGAATTACAAGTTATAATACATATAGGTATGGTGAAGGCCCTTAAGTTTCTGCTTGGAAGAATTAACTTGAAAGGATGTCATAAAGTTCGAGAATTTTCTTTTTTAAAAATATTGTCCCCAAATACCCTTTGGAGAAAGTATAAAAGGCAGGGCTCTTTTGGAATTCCTCTAAGCTAGAGATTTTACATGTCACAGCCCAGCTTTCAAGTCTCCCCTTTCCCCACTGTGTCCAAACTCGTAATTTAGGTCAAAGTCCACGAAGTAGCTTCGCCCCAATTCAGCGATGCAGTGAGTAGGAGGTGTAGAGGGCAGCGCTCTGTCTGCTCCATCACTAAGTGTTAGGTGGCAACAGGGGTCACTCACACCAAGCACCTTAGTTAGCCACAAGTGCCCAGCAATGCAAACTCAGCGGGAGGTACCCACCATGCGCCCACAGGCAAGAGGAGGCTCCAGGATGTGGGGCAAGGGGAAGACAGGCAAGGGGTCCTCCAGTAGGGTAAGCACAAGGAGGATGTGATCAGTCACCCTGGAGACCAAAGAGCACACCCTGGCACTTAAGAGTTGAACACTGTTAAAGGGAGTGAGTTGTCCCCCTGTCAGCACTGAAAAATGTCCCTCAGACAGAGGAGACAGGACAATGGGAGGAAATGGGTCACTGTACTGAGGCCAGCACGAAGCCCAGCGTTGTTTATCCTCTTGTGGAAGATGAAAAGAAAGTACAAAAAGGGAGGGGGCAGACTTTTAAGAACACACATCAACTCAAGCGCCCCAGCTGTTCAAGCACTTCCTGTTATGCAACCAGGGGACGCAAAGTCTCTCCAGATGAACTGAGCTCTAAAAGTGTTCTTTGACTTTGACCGATTTAATACATCCCACGGACTTAAAAGCAGTGAGAGTGGCCTCAAACCTGATGTCTTTATTGAAGCTTTTGGGGAGACCAATACCAAAGCAATGCACACCCTAATTTTAGAGCCTGCTATATACAGTGGTAACTTCTAGAGTTCTCTGTTCACCTTTCAGGTCTTCTAAAACAAACTTCACAGAAGAAACATCCAAGAAGGACAGAAACTTAGCTGGGTAAATGAATTGGGTAAATTCAGTGATATAAACTCTAATACTCTACAGACCTTGATGTTAGCACTAAACTATTAAAAGACCTAATTTGATCTTGTTAAGCTGTTTCTTGCCATTAGCACAATACCTTTTCTTCTTCATTAACGTTTACTATGGGAACTGATCTATTGAAATAGGTTATAGTTAATGTTAAACTGTTAACACATCCCCTGAGCCAATCCTTCTACTTCTACCTCCCACTCAAGTCACAGAGAGAAAAGGAAAAGCACCTAATGCTTAAACAGGAGAATCCAGGTCCCAGGCTGAGTGGGGATGGGCTGATGGGGAGGCTTCATACATCCAGCACAAAACACACTCACAATCTCAAAAGCCAAAAGGGAGAAGAGAGAGAGACAGAGAGAGGGGGAGAGGGAGAGAGAGAGAGAGAGAGAGAGAAGAAAGGAAAAAAAAAATCCCAGTGACAGTTATTTTTTTAAAAAATGCAGACTACACCTTTCTTCCATTTAAATGTAAAATGCCAAGCAAATTTAACTGCACACCGACTGATCCTCCACCCTCCAAAACCTGCTACAATATGCAGTCTTTGTCAACAAGGGGGATCCAGAGAACAAAAGGCTAAAATATGGGGAATGGGACAAGGACAACTGCCCTCCTCTGAGCTGGGGAGAATTCAAACAGCAAACGCTCACCAGATGAAGGGTACGGTAGATGGAGTCTCCAGAACTGTCACTGTTTTCCGTCTTGGGCTTGCGCTTTATTTTCCACAGTGCAGACATTGTCAGGAATAAATTTTCATGATAATTACTTCTGCCACCTCATGTGTTCGGCTTATAAACAGAAGCCTTCTAGCCCCATGGACAGCATCCTGTTATCAGGGTATCCTGGGCCGGCTCTCCCAGGCAGGGCAAGCCTGAGACCACATCTTAACACAAAAAGGACAGCAACTGCAACCCCTACAGAGGCACCTGCTTCTTGTCCTGCTGTCAAAGGCAAGACTGTGGACAAGCCCTCATGCTTTGACTTCACGTGGTTAAACCACAAAAGTTCCACGAAGGAAGCCACACAGACAAGAAAAGAAAGCCTGGAGCGCCTCCCTCCTGGGATGCAGGATGCAGGATGCTGAGGCTTTCCTTGCAGCTGATTGGCCAGCATCCTGCATGCACAGGACCTTAAACCCGCCCCCTGCCTGGCTGGGACAACTTCACAGCTCTCCTCCCTGAGTCAGGGGCGGGCACACCATGGCACAAAAGGTGTCAGTCACCACTGGACAGCTTCACACTTTGCATAAATGCCTGGTTCCAAAAGCAGACATTTCCCAAGACAAGAAAAATGGGATTAAACAGAAAAAAAAGAAATCATCCTGAAAGTAAGCATCCCTGAAAAGGACTCTAATACATTCACTGAGCAGAAAGCAACATCATCGCTGCCCAGGCCTGGGATGCACGCGAGGGCTCTGGAGACACTAATTAGCACTCAATTCCATAAACAAGAGTTTTCAATTAGAAGTTGGCATGGAGAAACAAGTGATGGGTAGTGAGGCTTTCTGAGGTTGTCACTCATGGTCACCAGAGGAAGGAGGCTGCCAGACTGCCCCTGCTATGTGACAGCCCCACCCCCACCCTGTGGCTGTGACATTCTTGTGTCACCACTGCTGAACAAGCACACAATTATCCCCTTGCTGAACTCAAAAAGGCCACGCACAGCAACCGCTGCAACAAAGAACTCCAACACAGTTTCTTTTTCTTGCCTGAGGTCGTGTGAAATAGCTCATTAAGAAAGAAGAACAAAAATATAAAACCACCACAAAATCATCACCCTCACCTATTGCTATTTATTTATTAGTTACATTCCTACACCCAGAGAGGGTGTGTGTATTCAGACATGTCTAATCGTCCTGTCTCACTTAAACAGTGGGCAATTTAAAAATTAATTTTCAGTTCTCAAAAAATGCAATAGAAACATTTAACCTCAACCAAGACACACCCAACTGACTGTGTATCTAATTGTCCTCTAGCACCATGAATAAATTAATTTCTTCTTTTATGAAGCCTGGCATTTAACACTAGACCTTCACAGTCTGGCCAGAAGGTCATTTTAACACAGTATTAATAACACAAAGCCTGGAGGTTTTGTGTTAATACAAAACAGGATGCACCGATTTGTGCTACCACAAAGCTGTGTGACTTTGAGCAAGTCACTTAACCTCTCAGTTCTAGAATTCTACTCCGCAAAAAAAATGGAAACTCAGATTATCTTTCTCCGAAGCACTATGAGGATGAAATGAGTTAATATGAAACAGTACCTAATATATGCAAAACATTAAATTAGCATTTCTTTGCATTCATTATTAATAATACATGGCAGGATCCAATCTCAAAGATCTGCTAGTACAATTTGAAATTTTTTGCCTTCAAATAGTCTAAACGAAAAATTTAATTCATCAAGAGTAATTTTAGCTTACTAACTTGGGTTGTATGACAAAACATTTCAAAGAAAGAAGATGAAATATGAATCAAATGCAAACTAGGGAGTATCTCTGGGCACAGCACTACCAGGGCCTCCCAACATCCACCTAGCAGAAAAGAAGCTGAAGAAGTGTGAATGCAGTCTACTGTGTGATCACCCTAATCAGATTGTTACCCTAATCTGTTGTCAACAATTCTGAGGAGGCTGGGCATGGCAGATGCGCCTGTAGTCCTAGTCCTTGGGAGGCTGAGGCAGATTTCAAGTTTAAGATCAATGTGGACTGTACAGGAAATACCCTGTCTCAAAAAAAAAAAAAAGAAAGAGCAAATTCCCTGTCTTTCCTGAAAGCCCACTGAGGAATTTCTGTAGAAGTCCAGAAGAGCACCTGTTCTGACATTTGACCCTCTCCGTCCCAGGTGGGTTCTGGGGCCTTGTTCTGTGAGAAGGAGTCACTCAGCGAGAGACCCATGGGGTTAGACCTCAAAAACCTGGGGCCTCTCCCTTCCTCTCCTCTGCCAGAACCTTTTATTACGAGGACTCTGTTTAGAGCCTCATGACTCACTATATTTAAAATGGAAATAATCTCCCTCAAAATCCACAAGGGGATGAGAACATGGAGCTATTACAAAGACAGAAAAATTATCTAAGTCAAAAAGGACTTAAAAATAAGTGTTTTAGATTCAGGAAAATAGCTGTTTTCCTAAATCCAATTAGAAATTGAAACCAGCATTTAGGACTAGAGGAAGTTCAGTGGTACAGTACTTGCCTGGCATGTGTGAGGCCCAGGGAGGGAGTGAGGGAGGAAAGAGGGGAAGGAGAGAGGGAGGGATGGACAGAGGGAGAGAGGGAGGGAAGGAAGAGAGGAAAAGAGGGAGAGGGGGAGGGAGGGAGGGAGGGACGGAAGAAAGGGAGGGAAGGAGGGAAGGAAGGAAAGCGCATTTGAAGGCAACACACTGTCCACACTGTCCCCCCAAAAGTGAGTAAAAGTAAAGTAAGGGCCACATAAAAGCAACATAAGTAGTTTTTGTTGTTGTTTTGTTTTGGGCTATAAATGAAACACGCATTTCCATTGATCTGATTTCTAATAACTAACCAATAGCACAATGCCTTCCATTAAGGCATAGATGTTAGCATTAACATTCAGATGTTTTATATTCTTCCTGAATAAAAAGACACCGACACTGACAATCTTATACTGATGAAAGAGAAACAAGTATGGGTAATAGAGATGTCACAGGCAGTCAAGCAAAAATGTCCTGTAGTTGGGTGTGATGATGCATATCTGTAATCCCAGCATTCTGGAGGCTGAGGCAGGAGGGTCAAGAGTTTGAGGCCACCCTGGGACACACAGTGAATTGTAGGCCAGCCTAACCTACACAGTGAGACCCTGTCTTCCCACCTCTTCCCCCCACCCAAAAAGGGGAAAAAATGTCCTAGAGGGAGACAAATGGAAAACATGTAGAAATACAGGTTTCAGAAATAGCTCATTGTTTTGTTTTAGAGTTTTTTGGGGGCAGTAATGGGGTTTGCACTCAGTCCTTGCACCTGGACTTGCAAGGCAGGTACTCAATCACTTGAGCCATCTCCCCAGCCCTTTTAGCTTTATTTTTCAGATAAGATCTTGTACTTTTGCCTGGGCCCACAGTTTTCCACATCTATTTCCCCAGTAGCTGGGATTACAAGTATGCACCATCACACTTGACTAGCTTTTGAGACAGTCTTACTATTTGTTCAGGCTGTCCTCAAACCTTGATCCACCTATCTCCACTTCCCCAGTGGCTGGGATAACAGGTAAGCCACTGAGCCTGGCCTGGAATAGTTCCTATTTGAACAGAATGTCTCTGTCATCATTGTGTTTTCACATAGTTCTATCATTTGACACGGCCAATGATCCAATCACTGGGCAAAAACAAGACCCACCCTTATTCTTCAGATGAGGAAACACAGGGGCAATTTAAGCTTACGTCATTTGTTCGGGTCAGTGCCAGGTAAAGGAGAGATGAATGCAGGTATGACATGAATCCAACAACATTACGTGAAAAGATGAGTAAATACAGAAACAATCATACACAATTGCTTTGGGGACATGGCTACACAGTTTTTTAAACTGCACTGTGTTTTGGAGACTCAAGTGCAAAAAGGCTACTGACACACAGAGTTCTTCACAAAGCAGAACAGAAGCACACAGAATTACAATGATTTTAGTGTCTTGCACCTAAGAGCCACAAGAAAACCTTTTTCTCATAGTACTCAACTGACAACCAGTCTATGTGGATTAATAATTTCAAAAAGATGCATGCCTTTAATAAAAACTGAACACAGATCATTCAAAAGCAGCTATTACAGAAACCCTAAGTAGCAAGAAAAGTCAGACAGTGCCTCAATCACACACATTTTGGATGCATTTCATCCCACACAAATGAAGATGCGAGAAGAAAATGATATGAAATTACGACATTAACTGGGAGCTCCAGCAGTGGCTGAAATTAAAGAAAAAGGCCTTCAATCCATCACGAGTGATTTCTGGCCCACGTTCACCCACATGGGTGCTTCATGTCCAGCTAGCTAGCAACATCTCAGAAGCAGAAACACTTCATCCCGTAGAGGCCTTGCAACCACATTCAGAGGCGGGGGGGGGGGGGTGTCAGGCGGGACTGTCCTGTGGCTCAGACCCGGGATGTGCAAATGAAAATCCCTCACCTTGCTGCTGTGATCTGTCTCATCGGAGGACTCCAAGTCTGGCCCCTCAGTCTCTTCTGGAGCGGTCTCAGCACTACTGCCCTGGTCGCTGCAGAGACTGTGCCCTGTCGGATGGAATCACAAGGCAATGTGGTCAGGCTGGACAGAGATTGCTGAAAGCCGTCCCTCGTGATGGGGACACAGAATCCAGCTCAGGATGGGATGCATGCGGTTAGACCTCCGCAGACAAGCCATGAGGCTGACTCAAGAATGGCAGTTTTTACTGACACTACTACTGTTATTCCACACTATTTTTATTACTTGTACTACATATCTGCTAATCTACAACCATGTTATAGACTGAGATTTGATGCTTACCACTAATTCTTATGCTGAACCACTAAAGCCAATGTGATAGTATTTGGAGGTGGAGTTTGGGAAGGTGACAAAGTTCAAATTAAGTCATGAGGGATGGTGTCCCCCTGATGGGGTCAGTGTCCTTTTAAAAAGAAGAAGAGACTGAAGCTCTCTCTCTCCCTACCATGTGAGGACACAGTGAGAAGGCAGACATCTATGTCAGGAAAAGAGCCCTCACCAGGGAACTGAATGGGCCAGCACTCAGACACTGTGATATCCCCACCCCCAAACCTGTAAGGAACAGCTGGGTACAGTGGGGTATGCCTGAAATTTCAGCTACTTGGGAGGCAGAGGAAGGGAGGAGGATCACAGTCTGAGGCCAGCCTGGGCAAAGTTAGTTCAAGACCCTGCCAGAAGCCAGGTGTTGGTGGCTCACGCCTGTAATCCTAGCTACTTGGGAGGTTGAAATCGGGAGGGTTGAAGGTTCAAGGCCAGCCTGGGCAAATAGTTTGAGAGACCCTATCTCTAAAATAACTAGAGCAAAAGCGGACTACAGGTGTGTTCAAGTAGTAGAGTCACTTCATGTAAGCATGAAGCCCTGAGTTCAAACCTCAGTCCCACCAAAAAAAAAAAAAAAAGGACCCTATCTGAAAAACAAACTAAAAGGAAAAGACTAGAGCCTGCTCAAGTGGCAGAATACTTGCCTAGCAAATACAAGCCTCGGAGTTCAATCCCCAGAAACACAAACACACACAATAAATAAATAAGTAAAATAAATGATGGCTGCTTCAAGACACCCAGACTCTGGTACTTTGTTATAGCAGCCCAAGCTAAGATAACAGTTTATAATGTATAATAAATTCATAATATAACAATATACATTTTGTATGTATGTTATAAATTAACTTAATTGATCTATAGTTAGTAAATTAGTTGATAAATTAGTTCATTACTTGCTAAAATAATTGAATAAACCACACCAAGAGGCAGCACAACCAAAAATGACTGTCCCTCATTCATTGCCTGAAAAACCCCACAACATGTGCATTTGCCAAGTGTGGTAAATTATGAAGATCTTAGCATGCCCACTCTTTCCACCACTCAGACAGTGGTGGGTACAGTGATGGTGACTTTCTTCCTTGCCTATTTATTTTCACCTACAGTGGCTTGTTACAGTGGTTTCCATTGTTCCCTGTACTGGGAAGGCAACATCAGAATCACTTCTCCCTAGAGTGGAGGACTTCTCAAATTTACAGAGCTTCTAGATCATGTCAAATCCAGACCTTTATTCAACAGACAAGGAGCTAGGCCCAAGATTCTGTGTTTCTTACAAGCTCTGAATGTTACTCAATACTCACGGTCTACACTGGGAGTAGACTCTTGAACCTCTGAGGACCTTCCCTAGCTGAATCTGCAATTACAGGGTTTTGAGGACCATTGTCACAGGTGCTAGACACTGGATTTGCGACCCACTGTCATTACAGGCAGGCAAGCGAGGGAAAGAGGAAGGAAGAGTGCAAGGATGCCTCCTCTGACACTCTGCAGGAACATTTCTGGCTGTGCGAAGGCTTGGATGGGTGTGAATGTGTCCCCCTGGGTTTATGGGTGGGAGCCTTGGCCCTCAGTGTGGCAGCACTGATGTGATGGAGCCTGTAAGAGTTGGGGCCCAGTGCGAGGTAACTAGGTCACTGGGAGTGTCGTCCTTGGGAGGCATTAATGTTGGTCTGAGGACTGAGTTCCTTCTTGAAAGAGCAATTCATATAAAAGGAGCAAGCCTGGCCCCTGACTCTGGCTTCCTGTCTCTCTGTGTGATCTCCTCCACACAGGCTCTTGCCATTGTGATGCTATCTGCCATGGGCCACTCAGTCAGAGGCTGAAGAGATGGGACTGTCAGACTCTAAAACTGAGAGCTAAGTAAACCTCTTTACTTCATAAAGCACACAGCCTTAGATATTTTGTTGCAGCAATAGAAAACAGACTAATACAAACTGCACATTAGCGCCTTACCTTCATGACACCAATAGAACCATCAATTGCCCTAATACATCACTCCCTATTCAAATTCCAACTTGGCAGGAAACTGAGGGAGGTAGCAACCCTTAAGGCTGCCTCCTGTGGTGTTTCCCCTTCTCTGGAATGAAGCACCAGCTGAGCAAGTGACCTTCTCTGATTTTGAAGTTTCTGACCCTTATGTCTCCCCCACCCCCTTGCTCTGGCTCTTGCATTTTTCTGGCATTTCTTTTCATTACTTAATCTATAATAAAATGGTAATGGTAAAAAAAAAAAAAAGGCTCAGTTAACTTAGCAGGAATTCTCCATGTCACATGGCCGCCTCCATCAGAAACAAGACTGAATACATCATATGAAGGCCATTACCTATATAGGTACTGGGGGCTGAAGAGTGGGGGGAAAAGGGGTGCTCACATTGTGGTCTGCAGAATGTCCCCCTCCCAGAGCTGTTCAGTTCAGACTGTATGAGCCAAGGTTGTGACACTGTGTATCCCTGTAGCTTCATACAATGCCTGGAGTGTAGGGGACACTCAGAAATAGTACAAAAACAAATGAAAGGACTCTCACTTCTAACAGTGCTGTGGGCTAAGCACCCAGAAAAATAAAGAAACCCTACTTCTACACAGAATTTAGAAATTCAAAATAAAAGATAGTATCCTTATTTCTGCAGTGCTGGTGAACAAATTACCAGAGCCCCAAATGAAGAAGGCAAAAGAAACTTAAGGCAGTGTAGCCCCAACACAGCCATCAATGCCCGAGTCCCAGCACGACACGTCCCGGGGGCATGAGAACCTACTGGTGGTGTTCCAAGACTTCTTGCAGGACAGACTTGTACGTTGGAAACTAGGCCCCCAGCTCCTGGGCACTGAATTATGTTTGAACTTTGCAGTGATGGTGACAATCATAAATGCACCCACATGTTTCACACACCAGCTATGTGTTGCACCAGGAAATCCCAAGATGGAAACTGCCTTAAGGACCTTCTGGATTTGTATTCCAAAGGCTCACGGCAGAAGCTAAATCACCCCACCTGAAGGGTGGATTCATTTATAATGATGACTTCACAAAAGCCCAGAAAAAAGCATGGCCATGCAGGAACACACAACGCAAGCATTAAAGGACAGGAGGACAAGTCCCTGTAAGCACCAGACAGGCAGGAGACACAAGCATGAGCAACAGACCCCCGAGGATCAGGGATCCACACCACAAGTGCCAGAAGTGGAATGCCTAATATCTAGGTACTTTCAGAAAATTCCAGATACATTAATAGAATTTGTAAAAATAAGAGCTATAGCAGCTGAAATTAAATAAGCTATGGATAAGAATACAAATGGAAGAAAAAAGAGAAGGCAGGCCATTCTGACTGGAGACAAACTGACCTTACAAAGCTGAAACTACACATGTGAAATTGCATTTCCAGCTGAAAAGCCACTCAAGGGGCTGGGGTGTGGGGTTCAGTGGTACAGTGCTTGCTTAGTATGTGTGAGGTCCTGGGTTTGATCCCCAAGTGAGAAATAAAATGCAGTTCGAGAAAGAGGTTATAGTAAGGACTTTTGAAAAACAAAGGGTGAGAACATTTACCAAAAATAGAAACTCACTAAAAAAAAAAAAATTCTCTAAAGTATGTATTTCAGGGAAAAAGGTTTTAGGTATTACAATCCTACAAACCTGGTATACAACCTGAAATGATAAAGAGTTGCTATACACATGAATGAGATTACAAAACCAAACAACACCCACCTCCCTCCCCAAAAGGCATGGGGGGGATAGGGGTAAAAAATATAAAATACAACTAAAACAAAAATGAGGGCAATTATGTTTAAAGTAATTCATGGTAATTTTATGCTTCAACAGGGAAGCAGAAGACTAAATTTGGTTTCTGTTAGGGTAAGAATCTTGTTTTAAGAACAACCACTAAAAGAAGAGGAATAGAATATGTAAGTTTAAAATGCAACCCAGAAAAGGGCAGGAAAAGGAAGGAAAAATGAAGGAGACAGAGGAAAGTAGATCATAGAAACAAGCCAAATTAATGGATTTAACTAAATGTAAAATAGATTAAACTTAATACTCAAACTTCATATTGAGATTTTTTTTAAACGCAAAACAACGCCCCAGCTGAATGCTGTCTGCAAGAAATAGACCTGAAAATAAAGACACAGAAGATTAAAATGAATGGAAAAATACATTAGGATAGACATGGGGTAAATATCTATAATTATTAAGTGTGCAGAAATGTATTTCAAATCCTATTACAAGGATTATGCACACACATTTTCCCAAGGATTAGCAACTTACATAAATAAGTTATTTATTCAGGTGCAATATTAAGTTTCTCTCTCTTTTTTTTTTTTGATGATACTGGGGTTTGAACTCAGGGCCTCTCAGTTGCTAGGCAGATGCCCCACCACTTGAGCCACTCTGCCAGCCCCTGCAATATTCTCTCAATAGAGAGAATCTATATTCATGCAGATAACACACCAGCAGCATTTTTCTTGGAACTAATTTTTTTTTTTAACCAAAGAGTAAAAGGCTAATAACACCAAAGACATTTTAGAGGGGTACTTTCTCTACCAGATAGCAAAACATTGATAAAGTTATGGTAATCTAATGCAGTGCAGAACAGGCTAACAGAATAGCCAGCCAGAAATAGCCCCAGCATACACAGAAGTGTGACATACAGCAGACATAACCTGCAGATCAGTGAGAAAGGAAGGACACATTGATAAATGTGACCAGCACAGTGGATTGACTACATGGG